CCGGTTCCACTCCCCCCGTTTCTATTCAAAAAAAAAAAAAAAAAAAAAAAATAATACGAAAATAAAAAGAAAGAGCGGGAAATGAGAGTGATTGGAACCAAAAATGTCAGGTTATTTTTAGTCATATTCATAAGCATCAAGGGTACTTAATGTTTCGATCGGGGTCCGTGTTGGTTAGTGTGATCCGAGCTTAAGGGAAGCTATGTACCTCCTAGTTGGTCTGTGTCTCACTGTGATTTCGCATAATGACATGCATCCGTTTTACACTGTTTGAGAACCCGAAACACTTAGAGCCACCGAATATTAGCCTTTTTACCAAGCCCATAACGTGTTCGATACCCCCTTTGTGAGAATACACGCCACTGCTAATAAATGTTAAAAGGTTAAGTTATCTGATTCTGAAAGTTCTTTTAGATCTCGGGACTTAATTTTGTTGCTACGGTTATGGCGAAGTACAGTCTAGTACGGTTTGATGAGTTTTGTGATAGTGGTTTGCAGGCAATTGATAAGATCATGATCCCGAAGAAAATGTGAGTTCTCGTGTTTTCAAACCTCTTCTCTTGATAAGGATTTCTGCTTTCCTTGAGGACAAGCAAAGATCTAAGTTGGGGGGAGTTGATATGTTGTGTTTTTATCGGTTTTGAGTCTTTGTTTTCTTTCCTACATCATATGTTTTATAGAGTCAAAGTGTGTTTTTAGAGTCTTTTAGTCTTTTATCGAGTCTTTACAGGTTTTAGGTTGCTTTGGAGGAAAACGAGCTGTTTTGGGATATAAACACACATTTGGAGATGCAGTTTCGTTTAGAAGTGTTAGACGTTTGGCCTCAGATGGAAGACTTCCCACCGTTAGATCTTTCTGAATTTTTGACACAAGCTAGATGAAGATGTTAGCTTGATTTTTCAAGTTGTTTGATGGAAATCTAACGGTGTATCCTAGAGTTACACCCGAATTAGTGAAGATAGGTCAATCTGGCGAGCATTTGAAGCAGTTGCAGAGCTAGAGACCAGAAGCTCCAGATCGATCGATCCCTTTGTAGATCGATCGATCCACTTCCCTTACAGATGAGAAACGTTCCAGACACTGCTGGATCGATCGGTCCTCCTTTGGATCGATCGATCCCTTCCCCAGACGTATTTTTGGCCCAGATTTGATCCGAGTCACTCCAGATCCGACCCGGCTCGTCTCCTATTGTTTTAAAACCCTAAGCTCGACTCTTTACACATTATCTTTGATATTTTTGAGTTCTAAACTTTGTTCTGTTTGTAAACAACTTTGGGCAAAGGAATCCATCCTCTTGACACTTGAGAAGATTTCTAAACCCTATTCCTTTTCTATTTTATTGAATCATGTTTTCTTTCATATCTATTTGCCTTTTCTCTTTCTCTATGTGTGAGTAGTTCTCCAATTGGGTTTTAGGGTTCCAATTAGGAGATTCAATGGATTAATGGATTGATTGTGTTAGGAATTCTCATTCTCTAGGTTTTTTGATTCACATGTTCTTAATGCTAGAATAGGATTGATCACCCTGTTGTAGATTCTAGGTTTTTCTATGCATCAAAAGTGTTCGATAGAATGCCTGAAAGAATGTGGATTGAGGAATTTTTTTTCTAGCCAACGAAAGTTGACGTTAGGACGCATTGTGAACTTAATGAACTTGTTTGGTAATGCGAATTTGACTAGGAAATTGCATGTGAAAGTTTAGTAATCGAATAGTCAAATTTAGTGATTAATGTCTTGAAAGAGAATTGGTCTAAATGTGTTCATGTTCAAGAACGGTTCGTAACTATTGAATTCATTGTCTCATGTTTCCGTTGTTTATTGATCTCTGAAATACCCTAATGCCCAATGTCTTTAAATCTTGAAGTTAAATCGTTTAATTTATTTGCATTTTTATTTTACAAATCTGATAACCAAACAAACTCTTCGCTTTAGCTAAGAACGAGTCTCGGAAGTCTTTAGTGTACCATTGGTTCTTGTGGATCGACCCCGTATATACTACCTTGCGGTTAAGTGTATCGGGTAATTACTCGAGCAATCAGAGCTGAATGTCTATGGATTGTGGGCCTATGATGCAACCACTGCGCTGGCAATTGCCATTGAAGAAGCTGGAACTACTAACTTGACTTTCAGTAATGGGGAGCCTGGGAGAAATGTGTCTGAATTTGAAGCTCTTGGTTTATCTCAATATGGTCCAAAGCTTCTCCAGACACTCTCAAGAGTTCAGTTCAAAGGACTTGTAGGAGATTTCGGTTTTATCAACGAGCAACTACAACCCTCAGTTTTTGAGATTGTTAATCTAATCGAACCGGAGATAGGTCGATCGGATTCTGGACAGAGGAAAATGGTCTTGTGAAGAAACTAGACCATCAACCACAGAGCATGAGCGCTTTATCTACTTGGAAAGATCATCTTAAACCCATTATATGGCCTGGAAAGGTTGATGTTGTTCCGAAAGGATGGGAGATCCCAACAAATGGGAAGAAGTTGCGCATCGGAGTTCCAAAGAGAAGTGGTTACACCAATCTCGTGAAGGTCACAAGGGATCCTATCACAAACTCAGTGATAGTCTCAGGTTTGTGCATAGATATCTTAGAGGCTGTGATTCGAGCAATGCCTTATGATGTCTCCTATGAGTTATTTCATTTTGAGAAACCCAATGGTGAACCAGCCGGTGATTACAACGAATTGGTGTACCAAGTGTACCTCGGGGTGAGTAAGCATAGTTATCCCACAAAATAACATTTACAAAAACCATCTTAGTGAACTAATCCTCTTTTCTTCTCCCTGTCACAGAGATATGACGCAGTTGTGGGAGATATAACCATACTGGCGAACAGGTCCGCTTATGTCGACTTCACATTTCCATTCCTTAAGTCAGGCGTGGGATTGATTGTCCCAATGAAAGACGAAGTGAAGAGAAACAGTATCAGTTTCTTGATGCCTTTAACATGGAAGTTGTGGGTGACTTCCTTTGTCTTTTTCTTCCTTATTGGCTTTACTGTCTGGGCTCTTGAACATAGGATTAATCCGGACTTTCGTGGACCAGCTAATTACCAAGCTAGTACCATATTTTGGTTTGCCTTCTCTACCATGGTTTTTGCTCCAAGTACATTTAATCTCCCCTCTCTACATGTCAACATATATTGATGTTTCCATTTATCACCTTTCTAGCTTGATGCTCACTCTCATGTTTCTATCCGCAGGGGAAAGAGTATACAGCTTTGGAGCTAGGCTTCTAGTTATCACATGGTACTTCATTGTTCTTGTGTTGACTCAAAGTTACACAGCCAGTTTGGCGTCAGTTTTGACATCACAAAAACTAAATCCAACCATAACCAGCATGAGTAGCTTACTTCAAAGAGGAGAAAGAGTGGGTTATCAGAGACAATCCTTCATCTTTGGAAAGCTTAATGACACAGGTTTCTCGAAATCTAGCCTTGTGCCCTTTGATACCACAGAAGAATGCCATGAGCTTCTCAGAAATGGCACAGTGTCTGCAGCTTTTTTGGAAACACCTTACTTGAGACTCTTTCTTGGACAATATTGCAACACTTATAAAATGGTTGAAGAACCATTCAACGTTGATGGATTCGGTTTTGTAAGTTTCCATAACAAAACAAAACTTCTATGAAAGTTACATTATATATATGGTGAGAATATAATTCACATTTTTTTGTAGGTTTTTCCAATCGGATCACCTTTGGTGGCCGATGTTTCAAGGGCCATCTTAAAAGTAGCAGAGTCACCAAAAGCAATGGAGCTTGAGAGCACATGGTTCAAGAAGAAAGAAGAAAGTTGTCCAGACCCAGTCACCAATCCAGATCCAAATCCGTCTACATCATCTAGGCAACTCGGCGTAGATAGTTTCTGGCTTCTGTTTCTTGTTGCTTTTGTTATATGTGTTCTAACCCTTGGCAAATCATTATTCTTTTTCCTAAAGAAGCCTACACATGTTGATGGCTTATGGAAGGAGTTCCAAAAACCAGACAATGATTCGTACATCAACAAAGTCGAGAAATGTCCATGTTCGTCAAGTCAACTCATGCCTGAGAACACCACTCCAGAAACTAATCAAACAGCTGACGGTTGAGGCACTGTAACCAACCATTATGTTTGAATCTCTCAAGATTGTCATTAAGTGCTTTTTACCAAACAAAACTAGAATTTAAAATATTGTTATTCATGGCGGAACGGGTTTGGCTCGACATTTCAATACCTGTATGGTTTATTGCTTGACCTTCGTATTGAAATTATTTAAGATGTCATACTTATTTTCTTTCAATACACGTAAACTATGTGGTCATGCACGACGTTTATTTCGTTGTTACTTTTTAATCAAGTAGTGCACAGAATAATAATATATTTGACTTCAACACTAAATTTAACTCTTTGTCGAATATATACAGAATTTATTTTAATACAATATAGAAAGCTTAGTTGTCTCTTACCAAACAAAACGTACATTAAAGGAATATTTTGATTTTTAAAAATGGCTACAAATTATGCTATTTTCGGGTATAGTCTAAAGATTGACGAATTTGAATTGAAAAAAAACTCAGATATCAATAATCATCTTGAAACACATTTTCCTCTCAAAAGAAACCCCAAATGAGAAACAAGAAAGTTTTCTTCTTCATCTTGCTCTTCTTCTTCTCCTCCTTCAAGGTGGAAGTCAGTAGAGGACAGAACAACGGAAGAACCAAAGTCAATGTCGGTGTTGTAACAGATGTTGGAACTTCATACTCGGACGTTGCCATGCTCTGCATCAACATGTCTCTAGCCGATTTCTACTCTTCTCGTCCCCAATTCCAGACAAGGCTTGTCGTCAACGTTGGCGACTCCAAAGAAGACGTCGTCGGTGCCGCATCTGCAGGTACTTTCTTTTCTTAACGTCAAAAATTGGATTGACAAGAAAACTTAATAAATTTGGCATTTAATATTCACACCGAATTTTCTTGGATTTGACTTTGGTCACAAGCTATTGAGCTGATAAAGAACAAGAAAGTGAAAGCGATTTTGGGGCCATGGACTTCAATGCAAGCTCATTTTTTGGTTGAGATTGGCCAAAAGTCACGAGTTCCGATTATTTCCTACTCTGCAACAAGCCCGTTTCTTACATCTCTCCGTAGTCCATACTTCCTTCGTGCTACATACGAGGACTCCTCTCAAGTAAACGCCGTAAAAGCTATTATCAAGTTGTTTGGCTGGCGAGAAGCTGTACCTGTTTACGTAGACAACACGTTTGGAGAAGGTATAATGCCTCGTCTCACAGATGCATTACAAGAAATTAATGTTCGAATACCTTATAGATCTGTTATCGCTCTCAATGCCACGGATCAAGATATCTCCGTGGAGCTTCTCAAAATGATGACCATGCCCACTAGAGTCTTCATTGTCCACATGTACTCTTCTCTTGCCTCAAGAGTCTTTATAAAAGCTAAGGAGATTGGTTTGATGAAACCAGGATATGTATGGATCCTTACCAATAGTGCAACCGATGACTTAGCTACGATGAATGAGACGGATGTTGAGGCTATGGAGGGCGTACTTGGTGTTAAAACTTATATTCAGAAATCCATAGAGCTGGACAAGTTTAGGTCTCGATGGAGGAAGAGTTTCCCACAGATTGAGCTGAGTGTCTATGGATTGTGGGCTTATGATGCTACCACCGCACTAGCGATAGCTGTTGAAGAAGCTGGAATAGATAACATGACTTTCAGTAATGTGGATCTTGGAAGGGATGTTTCTGAACTTGAAGTTCTTGGTTTATCTCAATACGGTCCAAAGCTTCTCCAGACACTCTCAACAATTCAGTTCAAAGGACTCGCTGGAGATTTTCGTTTTGTTAACAGGCAACTACAGCCATCGGTGTTTGAGATTGTTAATGTAATCGGGACAAGGGAAAGGTCAATTGGATTCTGGACGGAAGAAAATGGTCTTGTGAAGAAACTTGACCAATAATCACGAAGCATAGGTACTTTATCAACTTGGCAAGATCATCTTAAGTTGATAATATGGCCTGGAGAGGCTAATTCTGTTCCCAAAGGATGGGAGATCCCAACGAACGGGAGGAGGTTGCGCATTGGAGTTCCAAAGAGAACCGGTTACACCGATCTTGTAAAAGTCACAAGGGATCCTATCACCAATTCACCAGTAGTTACAGGTTTCTGCATAGATTTCTTTGAGGCTGTGATTCGAGCAATGCCTTATGACATCTCTTACGATTTTATTCCTTTTGAAACTCCTGATGGTAAACCAGCTGGGGACCACAACTCTCTAGTATACCAAGTCTACCTCGGGGTGAGTAACACACTACGATTAAGGAGGTCATCGTAATTAGAGATTTCGCTAATTAAATATGTTTTTCTGTCTCCATCGCAGATATATGACGCGGTTGTGGGAGATACGACTATACTAGTAAACAGGTCCTCTTATGTCGACTTCACATTTCCGTTCATTAAATCAGGTGTGGGATTGATTGTTCCCGTCGAAGACCAAGTAAAAAGAGACAGTATTAGTTTCTTGAAGCCTTTAACATGGAAACTGTGGATGACTACATTTCTCTTCGTCTTTCTAATTGGATTTACTGTTTGGGCTGTTGAACATAGGGTTAACCCGGACTTCCGTGGACCACGTAGGTACCAAGCTAGTACAATCTTCTGGTTTGCTTTCTCTACCATGGTTTTTGCTCCAAGTAAAATTCAGTCTCCCATTGTACATATCTCAACACATAGTGATTGTTATATATATACTTTCCTTAATGCTTACTCTATCGAATTGCGGTTTGTAGGAGAAAGAGTATTCAGTTTTGGAGCTAGGCTTTTGGTTATAACATGGTACTTCATCGTGCTCTTGTTGACTCAAAGTTACACCGCCAGCTTGGCGTCCCTTTTGACATCACGACAACTTGATCCAACCATAACTAGCATGAGAAGTTTGCTTGAGAAAGGAGAAAATGTGGGATATCCAAGGACATCATTCATCTTTGGAAAACTTAAAGAATCGGGTTTCACTCGATCCAGCCTCATACCCTTTGATAGCGCGGAAGACTGCGACAAGCTTTTGAGAAAAGGATCTGAAAAAGGGGGTGTTGCTGCAGCTTTCTTGGAAGTACCCTACATGAGGCTCTTTCTTGGACAATACTGCAACGCTTATCAAATGGTTGAAGAACCCTTTAGCGTTGATGGATTCGGCTTCGTGAGTTTTCATAACAAAACCATTATTACAATTTCCAAAACTATATGCTAAGATCATAACATAAGTCCATTTTCATAGGTTTTTCCAATTGGATCACCTCTGGTTGCTGATGTATCAAGGGCCATCCTAAAAGTGGCAGAATCACCAAAAGGGAAGGAGCTTGAGCTCGCGTGGTTCAAAAAGAAAGAAGAAACATGTCCAAATCCAGTCACAACCGCAGATCCAAATCCGTCTATTTCATCGAGGCAGCTCGGCGTAGACAGTTTCTGGGTTTTGTTTCTCATTGCTTTCCTAATGTGTGTTTTCACCCTTGGAAAGTTCGCTTTCTTTTTTGTCAAGAATAATCAGGGTAATAGTCTGTGGCAAGAGTTTCATGAACCAGATGAAATTTCGTATATCAACAACGTGGAGAAATGTCCGTGTTCGTTAAACCAAGAAGATGTAATAAATCCACCTGCTGATGATGATATTCATCAAGACACAAGGGAGCAACTATAATGTTTGAATGTCTCAAGACTCTTTAATTTAACAAACAAAAAGGCGTGTGTTTTTATGTATAAGATGATGAAAATAACTATTTTCGTGGAAGGACTATCCACATTCAGATGTATTATGTACAAATGAGATTAACGAACAAGTCACCATGAGGTTGATGATGTTACGTGTTCCCCAAGACAAAGATATTAACCCTAGGACTATGATATCTCGCATTTTCTAAAGATTAGTAGCATATTGAGTTAGAGTACAAGAAATTGTAACCTCAAGAAAATGCGCAGTGCGTTTTATACACCGACTATTCAAGTTGCTATTTTTTTGCAACTATATCCTCGGGTTCCAAAAATACATATCAATCCTCCAAAAATCAAAAACGTAATTTAATCACTATATATCTTTGAACTGTTTTTACAATCACATACAATGGATTAATAAAATTCTAAGAATGGATTTGATCTACTTGATGCGAGGGTTTTGAATTAGTCATTGATCTTCTCTTAATCCTTGTGTATTGTAGGAAAAGGCATTGAAGATCAAATCAGCAGGAGAAGCGTGGCTATGAGACCAATCAAAGTCTATGATATCAGATAGTGACTACGCTGATAACTGCAGAAAGTGGCTCGGTGTGGAACAGTAAAAGCTGCAACCTTTAGACAGCTTTTTTTATTTTATTTTTCCCTCTGTCTCAGAGACCAATCAAAGTCGCAAGATTTTTACTTCTTTCTTTTGTTGTTGTTGTTACTTAATCAGTCAGCGTTTTATTACACTCGTGATTATTTTTATGTTAAATTTATTAATTGCCCAGTCTTTAGATTACTTCTTAGTTCGAATATAAATCTCCCACTAAATAATAATTTATTGCTTGACTTTCATATAAATGAAAATGTCATATTTGTTTGCCCATAAAAAAAAAAAAAGAAAAAAAGAAAATGTCATATTTTTAGTTACACAATACAAGTAAACTTTAGTTGCAATAAGAAAATTACAAGGAAAATGTATAAAAACAATAAAGTATATTTAATTTTTTTATGTTACTTTCAATCAAGTAGTAACCTTGTTTAAAAATCGCTATGCGCTAGTCGGGCGCTAGGTATGGGCCTAGCGATTAATCAGAAAATCGGATTAAAATCAGGGATTAATCGGGGATTAGTTTTAGGATTATTTTAATAGTATATTTTTAAAACATATTAATCAAATATTGTTTTCAAAATTGCAGTAAACACATAAAACTGTATTTTTGAGATAAATTTTTATGATTTTTCTTACAAATTTATGATTTTTATTAAAATTTGAACATAAGTTATTGTAAAACATCATAAACTCCCAATTTAAATGATTGAATAACAAAATTTTTTATACTTGCAATCTAAAAATAATCGAGATATGTAAAATTAGGCGGGGAGTAATCGGATTAGGCGGGAAGTAATCGGATTAGGCGGAGAGTAATCGGTTAACTGATTTTTTTAGGGGATTAGTCATTAATCGAGACGGATAGGGTGGGCCTAGCGATTAAGCGGGGAGTAATCGGGCCTAGACGGAGATTTTTAGAACAGGGAGTAGTACTATATTTTATGTTTTATTTTTTCGTCAAATGTATTCATAACATTATTTTCTTACAATAAAATAATGCTAAGTCATCTCCTACAAAACACGAAACCTTCTAAATATATATATATATATATATATATATATATATATATATATATTTTATCAAAAATTGCATCAAAAATTGCCGGGAACTTTGAAATCGTATTTGCTTCTTATCTTCAGAATGTTTCATTGCTTATTAGGATGAGACATTAAAAAATTCAGCAACTATCCAAAAGTTTGCTATATATGTGTGCAAACACAAACCAATAAGCAGCATCTATCACTTACCACCTAAAAGAAAGAAAAATCTCCAAATGAGAAACGATAAGCTTTTTTTTTTTTTTTTTGGTAAAAGAAACGATAAGCTTTTCTTCTGCGTCTTTCTCTTCTTCTTCTGCCTAGAACTCAGCAGAGGACAGAACAACGGCAAAACCCAAGTCAATGTCGGTGTTGTAACGGATGTCGGTACTTCATACTCGGAGGTTGCCATGCTCTGCATCAACATGTCTCTTGCCGATTTCTACTCTTCTCGTCCCCAGTTTAGGACAAGGCTTGTCGTCAACGTTGGTGACTCCAAAAAGGACGTTGTAGGTGCCGCAATTGCAGGTACCTTCTATTCTTCTCTCCCTTTATCTCTATACATATTTCGTTTGGATACATCATGTTAATGTTAATGTTACTGTGTGTAATATACTTTTTAGTTTGTACACGTTTGATATACTCAATCCTAATTTTCTTTGTTTTTGACATTGTCACAGCTCTTGATCTAATAAAAAACAAGCAAGTGAAAGCAATTTTGGGGCCATGGACATCTATGCAAGCTCATTTCTTAATCGAGATTGGCCAAAAATCGCAGGTTCCTATTGTTTCCTTTTCTGCAACAAGCCCATTTCTTAATTCCCTTCGTAGTCCATACTTCTTTCGTGCTACGTACGAAGACTCCTCTCAAGTGGAAGCCATAAAAGGCTTCATCAAATTATTTGGGTGGAGAGAAGTTGTGCCAGTTTACATCGACAACACCTTTGGAGAAGGTATCATGCCTCGTCTCACCGATGCATTACAAGATATTAATGTCCGGATACCTTATAGATCCGTTATCGCTCTCAATGCCACGGATCAAGAAATCTCCGTGGAGCTTCTTAAGATGATGAACAGGCCCACAAGAGTGTTCATTGTCCACATGTACGCTTCTCTAGCCTCAAGAGTCTTCATTAAAGCAAAGGAGATTGGTTTGATGAAAGCAGGATATGTCTGGATCCTTACGAATGGAGTTATAGATGACTTAAGTTCGATAAATGAGACGGGTATTGAGGCTATGGATGGGGTATTGGGTATAAAAACTTATATTCAAAAATCCCAAGATCTTGAAAAGTTTATATCTCGATGGAGGAAGATATTCCCACGGTTGGAGCTGAATGTCTATGGATTGTGGGCTTATGATGGTACCACTGCGTTAGCCATGGCCATTGAAGAAGCAGGAATAAATAACATGACTTTCAGTAATGTGGTGGATACGGGGAGGAATGTTTCTGAACTTGAAGCTCTTGGTTTATCTCAATTCGGTCCAAAGCTTCTCGAAACGCTCTCAAAAGTTCAGTTCAGAGGACTTGGAGGAGACTTCCATTTTGTCAACGGGCAACTGCAACCATCGGTGTTTGAGATTGTCAATATGATTGGAACCGGAGAAAAGACAATAGGATTCTGGACGGAGGGAAATGGTCTTGTGAAGCAACTAGATCAACAACCAAGTAGCATGAGCGCTTTATCTACTTGGCAAGATCATCTTAAACAGATAATATGGCCTGGAGAGGCTGATTCTATTCCGAAAGGATGGGAGATCCCGACTAATGGGAAGAAGTTGCGCATTGGAGTTCCTAAAAAAATCGGTTTCACTGATCTCGTGAAGGTCACAAGGGATCCTATCACCAATTCAACTATAGTCACAGGTTTCTGCATAGATTTTTTCGAGGCTGTGATTCAAGCAATGCCGTATGACGTCTCTTATGAGTTCATTCCTTTTGAAAAACCTGACGGTAAAGCAGGCGGTAGTTACAACGAATTGGTCTACCAAGTTTACCTCGGGGTGAGTACGATCACATACTAATCATTCCTCAATATAGCATTTATAACCATCTAAGTGAATTTTTCTTTGCTTCTCTATCACAGAGATATGATGCAGTTGTGGGAGATACAACCGTACTGGCAAACAGGTCCTCTTATGTAGACTTCACATTCCCATTTATTAAATCAGGTGTGGGATTGATCGTCTCAATGACAGACGCAGTAAAGAGAGACAGTGTTAGTTTAGTGAAACCCTTATCATGGAAACTGTGGTTGACTTCCTTTTTCTCTTTCTTCCTTGTCGGTTGTACTGTGTGGGTTCTTGAACATACAGTTAATCCGGACTTTCGTGGACCGAAAAGATTCCAAGCTAGTACCATCTGTTGGTTTGCCTTCTCTACCATGGTTTTTGCTCCAAGTACATTTAATCTCCCCTATCAGCACATATATTTTCCTATATATCATGCACCTTGCTTGATTCTTATTTTTGATTCCTTGTCTGCAGGAGAAAGAGTATTTAGCTTTTGGGCGAGGGCCCTGGTTATTACATGGTACTTTCTTGTTCTCGTGTTAACTCAGAGTTACACAGCTAGTTTGGCATCGCTTTTGACATCACAACAACTAAATCCAACCATAACCAGCATGAGAAGCTTGCTTGATAAAGGAGAATCAGTGGGTTATCAGAGAACATCCTTCATCCTTGGAAAGCTTAAAGAAGAAGGTTTCCCGAAATCTAGGCTTGTTCCCTTTGATACCGCAGAAGAATGCGACGAGCTTCTAAGTAAAGGAACAAAAAAAGGTGGTGTCGCAGGAGCTTTCTTGGAAATACCTTACTTGAGACTCTTTCTTGGCCAATTTTGCAACACATATAAAATGGTTGAAGAACCATTCAATGTTGATGGATTTGGCTTTGTAAGTTCCTATATCAGAACTTTTGTGAAATTGCATTAAATGGTGAGAGATCGTAAGTCCTTTTTCGCAGGTTTTTCCAATCGGATCACCTTTGGTAGCCGATTTTTCAAGGGCTATCTTAAAAGTAGCAGAGTCTCCAAAGGCAATGGAGCTCGAGCGTGCATGGTTCAAGAAGAAAGAACAAAGGTGTCCTGATCCAATTACTAATCCAGATCCAAATCCCTCTTTCACCTCTAGGCAGCTTGGCGTAGACAGTTTCTTGGTCATGTTTATTGCTGTGTTAGTTGTGTGTGTTATAGCACTCACATATCATTTCCTACCAAAATTCTACAACGATTCGTACCTCGATAGGGTAGAGAAAAATCCGTGTTCATCAAGTCAACAAACGCGTAAGGACAGCAATAAAGCAACAAACCAGGCACAAGTTCATGACCAAGACTGTCTTTAATTTAACAAAACATTTTAAAAAAAAAGGACAAAAAAGGATGTGCTTTTGTTATACCAAACTTTTGTACTTTATTGTGTAAACAACGATTCTCAGAAATAGATGATCTAATCCATATAAGAGACTATCAAGTCACCATGGAGGTTGATTTCGTTACATGTTTTGCAAGATAGTTAACCTAAGGCTAAAGTTTCTCACATATGCTAACAACTAGTAGCGTATTATCTTCGATAGACTACTAGAATTAGAGTTATCCTTACAGGCACACAATCTGCTGAACTAATTCATAAGATGAGTATAATTCACGGACAAAACCCTAAAACTAGAGAAACTTGGTAGTGCAGCGGCTGATGATGACATCGGCAATAAAGGCGATGAGATGGTGAAGACGATGACAACTCAACAATGAAGACAACGACGAATGATGAAGACTCATGTAATGGTTTATGTTTAGATCAATAGTTCCAGTTAACCGTTCGGTTATCAGCTGCCGAACCAAACCGAATGGTTAACCGATCCTAATTTATATGTTGTCCGAGTGGTTTACCTGTTATATCCAAATCCTTACCGATTTCTCCAAACCTCGGTTCGGTTTGGTTCGGAAAAATCGGTTTGGGATATTAGTCTATATGTTATTAAGTGTATTTTATGTTATGACAAATTCATTTTAGGTTTCAAAAAATCTGGAGTTTGATAGTAAATTTTAACAAGAAATTATTCTGATAACCTATATATTTTTTTCTGAATTTGATGTTAAACTAAACTCAAAAAAGAAAATAACGTTTTTACATCAAGTGCAACTTTTTGTTGAAAAATTAATAGTGAAAGTGTTTTAGCTTATAAACTGAAGTGGTCAAGGTCTTGATTGAAACCAAATTTGGAGGGCCTTTTCGTAGCGTCGATCCCCAGTTGCTTTGATTGTTGATATTTGATTCCTAACTTTCTTGTCAATCCATTGGATTAAGCGAGAGCCGGGATTCGGAGGTTCGCCATGAGTTCTTCCGTTTCTCTCCCGCCATACGGTATGAACTGTCACTTGGAGAAGATTCGAGCAATGAAACTCTCAATTCTATCCTGCCAATGACCATAAACCGTAGCAATCAGAGCCGACCAGTTTGTAGAGAATCTTGCCTTGTAGATATTCTTGGCTAAGTTTTCCCAAACTTCAGCTGCGAACCTACAAGAGAAAAATAAATGGTCCCTTGTTTCAAAGTTGTTGTTGCAGAGTGTACACGTTGCTTGCAGCCCTCTGTTCCATTGGAGCATTCAGTCCTTTGTAGAGAGCCTGTTTTGCACTGCAAGCCAAGCGCAGAAAGAATACTTCGGTGTTGCGTGCGCAAACCAAATTCCTTCGTACCATGGTACCTTGTTTGAAACTGAAAGTGTCTGTCTCCAAGTTTTTTTTGTGAGGAACTTGTCTTTGTAACTTTCGTTTACTCCCCTCCACAGTACCTTATCTTCTTCATCTACCCGGTTCTGTTTCTGCAACATAAGAGCCTCTTCTATTCGATTTAGAAGTGCTGCTCGATGTCGTCTTTGCCTCCGACCAGGCCATGCGTCAGCCACAGTCATGTGCCTTCTAATACCGAGGTCAATCATTGCCCGTTCTCCTACGACATCCAACAAAGGGCCCAGAGTTGACCAATTTTCATACCAAAATGACGTCCTTCTTCCATTCTTGACTTCCACTTTGCAAAACTGCTTTGCATTGTCTCTGTACTTAAGTAACTTTGTCCACATCCAAGAGCCTCTGTTTGTGGTTGCTTTAATTGACCAGAACGTCTCCTTCTTAAGTAAATACCTCTCAATCCATTTGACCCATAGTGAGTTTGCATGGGAAGCGATCCTCCAGATTAACTTTAAACAACAGACATCGTTTACCTCTTTCAAAGGTCTCAGCCCGAGCCCCCCCTCTATTTTCGGCTTGCAAACAGTGTCCCAACAGATCTTTGTGTGGATTCAAATCTGGACCAGAGAAAAGCAGAACAGAGTTTGTCAATCTCTCGTATGCATTCTCTAGGCAGTCGAAAAGCAGCTAGCCAAAAGTTGCAGATGCTCCTCAGAACCGAAGTTATTAAGTTCAAGCGGCCTGCATAAGAGAGATATCGAGCAGTCCAAGAGCCTATTTTCTTCTTAATGTGCTCTAGCAGGGGATTGTAATCCATCGCGGTGAGCCGTTTGGTGACCAGCTGTAACCCCAGGTATCTTACCGGTAGTTGACCAACATCAAACCGATACCTATCCTTTATCTCCTGACTAGTTAAGTCTGAAACACCCGCTAAGTAGATCGTCGATTTCTCCATACTTATTTTAAGCCCTGATCGCTTAGCAAAAGCATCGAAAACTTCCACAATTCCTTCGACAGATCGCACCTTACCGTCAGAGAGAACCATGAGATCGTCTGCGAAGCTAAGATGTGTTCGACCTATTTCTTTACATCTCGGGTGGTAGCCATATTTTTTTGAACCAGCAGCTTTATCTAGCATCTTGGAGAGAACGTCCATGCTCATAACGAATAAATAAGGAGATAGAGAACATCCCTGTCTTAACCCTCGTTTACTTTGAAAGAAACCCGCTAACTCGCCATTTACTTGGACTGAAAACGACGCTGTGGTGACACACAACATGATCCAGTGAATAAATTCCGTGGGAAAATCCATAGATAAAAGAACATTTCTGAGGAACGGCCATTGAACTGAATCAAAAGCTTTGGAGATGTCAATTTTTATGGCACATCGACTCGAGATAGAGTCCTTGTGGTAGTCCTTGACTGGTTCTGTTGCCAACAACATATTTTCTATCAATAACCGGTCTTTTACAAAAGCCGATTGGTTTCCCGCCATGAAATTGGGTAGCACCAATTTGAGCCGATTTGCTATATAGTGATTAGAGTTTCTATTCTTTGCCGGAGATGAAAGTTGAAGGTTTTTTTGGTCGATTGTAAAATGTTTGATTGATTTTGTTTTTTTATCCTATTTTTATTTTTATTTTCTGTTTATTTATTTTTATTTAATAAATAATAGAAATGATAAAAATGAGTTATTGGTCTTTATATTTAAATATTGTGTCATTCTAGTTTTCTTCTACATTTGGTGCTTTGCGCTTTGTAGTGAATTGTTTTGCTTTTTGGGGAATAAAGTCATAGCCTAGAATCTAGCTGCACGTGATACTGCTACTGATGTACAATTAGTTTCCTCTCGTGATTTTTGTTTGTGGTTTCAAGAGAAATTTTGCCTACACACAGTGAACACACAATTTTTAAGAATTTTTTTTGCACTGTACATGAAATTTTGTTTTACATTGTTAAAAATACAAAACGTATTTCAGCTATACAATAAACTCACTTTTTAAAAAATATAAACGTATATGCAAACAGATAATCGATTTCTTATTCTTCTATGACAAAAAACGAATCCTCAACTAACTAATTTACTGTCAAACCATTTGATAGTTAGATAGCAAACTTGAATGTTTTCACTTTCTAAGATTCAATTTCTTGAAAACTATTTGTACAGTAGTATGCATTGGTGCCTACGTGTTCAAATTAAGTTAGCTGAGTTTATATCCAAACAATTCACTAACAGAAAATTAAGCATATTTAATCAAAGTTAATCCGAATGTGAATCAAAGTTAAGCATATTTAATCAAACTTTTCCGTTTTTTTGGTTTAAAGACCAATGTCTCTCAAGATTTATTTTTTCATCGTTCATGGATATTTGTTAAGTTTATTTGATGAATATTTTCCATAACCAGTCAGTCAGGTCTTTATGTTCAATCCCAACACTATTTCATAGTCAAAACTTGTTTTTTCGAAAACAATTACTTTTTGGAAAAGCTGAGAAACGTTTTTTTTTACATTACTTTTTGTAAAAAAGCTGAAGAAAGTTTTTTTTTCTGACATTGCTCCATGGGCCATATTACAGTAGTATAGACCCCTGTTCTAAAAATCCCCGCCTAGACCCGATTACTCCCCGCTTAATCGCTAGGCCTACCCTGTCCGCCTCGATTAATGACTAATCCCCTAAAAAATCAGTAACCCGATTATTCTCCGCCTAATCCGATTATTCCCCGCCTAATCCGATTATTCCCCGCCTAATCTTACATACCCCGATTATTTTTAGATTGCCAGTATAAAAAAACTTTTTATTTTTGTTATTCAATCATTTGAATTGGGAGTTTGTAATGTTTTACAATAATTTATGTTCATATTTTAATAAAAATCATAAATATTTGTCTCAAAAATACATTTTTATTTGTTTACTGCAATTTTAAAAATAATATTGGATTAATATGTTTTAAAAATATTAAAATAACCCTAAAACTAATCCCCGATTAATCCCCGATTTTAATCCGATTTTCCGATTAATCGCTAGGCCCATGCCGAGCGCCCGACTAGCGCCTAGCGATTTTTCAAACAAGGGTATAGACTATAGAACGACAAAGTTGCTATCTTCTCTCAGAAGACGAAAAAAAAAAAAAAAAACTTTCAACGTTTAGAATATGGCGGATCCACCTCTCTATTCTCCGATCAACCCACATTTCTTCCAACCACTTCTTCCCGGTTTCACCAACCACCTCGTACTCTGTTTCTCCATCTCTCTATTTCTCTCTCTCTCTCTCTCAGACCATGTTGTTTCGGTTTCTAACTCATCTTCCATGCTGTTTCAGGACATTCCAGTGGCGTTCTTCTTGAAGCACTTAGTGGGAAGCAACAAAGGAACCACGGCTGAGCTAAGATCAGACGCATCAGAGATGACATGGAGAGTGAAGATAGACGGCCGGAGACTCTCTAACGGTTGGGAAGATTTCACCGTCGCACATGATCTTCGAGTTGGTGACATTGTTGTTTTCAGACAAGAAGGAGAGTTAGTGTTCCATGTCTCTGCTTTAGGACCAAGTTGTTGCGAGATTCAATACAGAGACAATTACCCTGAAGAGGACAAAATAGGTAACCTTAGTTTTTTATATTATATTAATACTATATTTAGAGTGATTCTAATAAGATTTACTTAATCTATCTATGTACAGAGAAGCTTTGTGATACAGAGAAAGTTTCAAGAAAGAAAAATAGTTTAAAGAGAGAGGCAGATTCTGCACCAGAACATTCGCTAGGCTCTTGTTTTGTGGCCACTGTCACCGCTTCGAATCTAAAGCGCGATACAGTGGTTATGTTACTTCCATATACTCTTTACAGTCATTTTGATTTGAGTGAGATGTGTTTTAGTATATCCTTGATAACTCTAGCTAACTTAGCTTGTGGCGGCATTTGCAGTATATTCCGAAAGGTTTTGCATTGTCAAATCATCTGATGAACAAATTTCAGATTGTCTTAATGAATGAAGAAGGAGAATCATGGAAAATAGACTTGAGACGCGAGACATATAGTCATGGCCGGTTTTACATGAGAAGAGGCTGGAGAAGTTTCTGTATTGCGAATGGGAAGAAACCGGGAGACTCGTTCGCATTCAAATTAGTCGAAAATGAAGAAACACCTGTGCTCCAGTTGTTCCCTATGACCATTGAAGATCTAGACAAACTTCGTAAGTTAATTTTCATATTTCCTTGATTATTGATAATCTTCTTAATCAAATTCTACAATTGATACAGAGAGCGTTCCAAGAGAAAAGAGTCGGAAAGTAGAAGCACCTCCTTCACCAGACCCTTCTTCGTTTGTAGCCACTGTCACGGCTTCAAATCTGAGCCGCGATAGACTGGTTATGATACTTCCATATAACTCATGACTTACATAGATTGATTTTGATTTGAGTGAGAGCTGTTCTAATTGATATTCATGATGATTGTATACTACTGCAGTATCTTCCGAAGACGTTCATTATGTCAAATGGTTTGTTGAAGAAATTTCAGATGCGTCTAATGAATGAAGAGGGAGAATCATGGACAATAGACATGAAACATGAGGCACATTCAGGCCGGTTTTTAACGATAAGAGGCTGGAGAAGTTTCTGTGTGGCTAATGGGAAGAAACCTGGAGACTTGTTCGAATTCAAATTAGGCCAAAATGAAGAAACACCTGTGCTCCAGTTGGTACCCTTGAACAGTGAAGATCTACACAAACTTGGTATGTTGTGTTATCTTTTATTCTTTCAAGAAAAAGAAAAATGTTGAAAGAAAAATCAATTACAGAAACAGGTTGTTCTTTTACAGAGCCTAACAATGACACAAGGCAAGGAAAGTGTTTAGAAGCTACCAAAAAAGAGTTTCTTTGTTTACAAGCCACAAAAAAGAAGTTTCTTGGCGAAGAAGTTTACCGTAATGACTCCTTCAAAGCTATCGATGAAGATATAAGGAAAGGACAATGTTCAAAAGCTATTAAACAAGAATATGTTTCCACAGAAGAGAATAACTCAACAAGCCAAAACCGATTTGTGACCTTAACACTTACACCTTCAAGTAAACTTGTAAGTTTCACAAGAAAACTCTGTTTTTCTCTTGTTTTTTTCTCACTTGGACTCTCTACGTATAATCTGAAAATGGAATCTACAGAATCTTCCGGTGGAATTCATAAAGGGGAATGGAATCAACAAGGCGGGGAAGATAACAATGCTTGATAGATACGATGCAAAATGGCCGACGTCACTACTGATGGACAAGAGAGGAACAATGAGTTTAGGAAGAGGTTCAAAAGGTTTCTGTGAGGTTAACGGCGTTAAGATGAATGAGTCGTTTGTATTGGAGTTGATATGGGAAGACACAGTTCCTCTTCTTAAGTTTTGTTCCAAAGTTTAAAAACCATATCAAGGAAGTTTATGGCTCAAAGAAACTTTCTTTCATTCAATGGATTTCATTTCAATGTTAAACAATGCCGTTTAAAGCATCATTAATTCAGATAATATTGGTTTAATTCATTCCCTTTTTTTTCGTAGACTCACATATATAAGCTGTTTCATAATAACAAAACCCTAAGAAAATCGCAAATTAGCTTTAGAAAAAAAATTAGAGATGGCGGACGAGAGCTTCACCGACGGTACAAGAGTCCCTAGCAACGGCAACAATCCTTGTCGGAAAACCGAAGGAGTAGACTTAATAAGCTCTTTACCTGATTCTATCCTCCAACATATCCTCTCCTTTATTCCGACCAAGTTAGCCATCAGAGCCTCCCTCTTGTCCAAACGATGGAGACATGTATGGTGCGATATACCTTCTCTCTCCTTAGATGACCAGACACTGAAGGATACTTCAATAACCCTAAATCGCTTCACTTCTCTGAAGATAATGAATTTTCATCTCAACACCACAATGAAGCAGAATATTCCCCATATCAACAAGTGGGTCGAGTTCGCCATATCCCGCAACGTGGAGAATCTTTCCCTGGATTTCTGGAACCCTAGTTCCAGTTACAAGTTTGAGATTCCTGATTTCTTCTACGTCAATTCATCTGTTAAGCAACTCACCATTAAGTTAAGCTTTACTGATCTTATGGTTCCCGCATGCTCCCTATCTTGGACATCCCTGAAGAAGTTGTACTTACGTAATTGTAATCTCTCTGATGAATCCATGGCTAAGATTCTATCTGGTATTCCCCTTCTCGAAAGCTTAACATTGTATTTCTGCAATGAACTAAGGGTTCTGGATCTCAGTAAATCACTGCGTTTGAGAACGTTGAAGATAAACCGCAAAATTTGGGTTCCGGGGCCAACACATATTGTGGCACCACATATCTATCGTCTCAGATTGAGAAACTCTCAGTTACCATGTACTTTTGTTGATCTCTCGTCTTTAGCCGAAGCTAGACTGGACATTTGCATTGTCCCAATAACCCGAACCTTCAAGGCTGATTTTCTTCAAGACATGGTACTAAAGATGTTAGAAAAGTTGCAGAATGTAGAGAAGCTTACTTTTGGGGGAAACTTTCTACATGTATGTATTGCCGCCCTCCTTGGATTAATTCTCTAATACCTATATTCTCAATTGATTGCAAAATCTAACATTTTCGGATGGATTAGTTTTCATTAGAAATTGATTTTCTTTGATTTTTGTTAGATTATATCTCTTGCCGAGGTTCGTGGTGTTCGTTTTCCGATGTTCAAGGTGAAAGATTTGACTCTGGAGACAGTGATCTTTCAGTATGTTATTCCTGGTATAGAAAGACTGTTACAAAACTCACCTAATTTAAAGAAGCTAACTATACGCGCAAGGGATACCAACACCATACGGGTATATATATTTACCATTAATTAGTTAACTGCTTTTTATCTTCCCTGGCCTCTCTTCTAACTTTCACTAAGTTCGAAAATATATCCAAGAACCACTTTTGTATTTTCTTTCTGTTGAGCAGAAGGAGTATATAAACAACTACTTGAAGTTGCAAGGCTTAAACCTAGATCAATGCTGGAGATCAAAAGATGGGGTCGTTTTCAACAATTTACGTTGGGATTTAGAGTCAAAGCACGCGACTTCATTTGTGGAACTTGTGCTTAAAAACACAAAGACATTGAAGTTAGACAAGATAGTCATACTTTTGAATGAGCGTTACCTTCGGTTTAAGTTTGAAGAGCTGGTCGTTCCAACACTTTCTCATAACAACTTCTCCATTGCGCTCTTAAACATGCCTATGACATCAGATGATGAGGATTGGTAAATCATTTATTTTTTCGAGTCTCATTGAACATTTATTTTTTCTTCGATCATGAGTGTACTTTTATTGATATTAATTAATGAAGGTTTTACATCGAATCTCACTTTAACATACTAGAAGAAGAGATTAATATTTCCTGATCCATAGTACTAGTAATGAAACCCGATTCGACTAGTCAGTGTCCGGTCCGGTTTCTAAGTTATATTAATGAACTGATTATCTCAAATATATTTTCGACTCCCTTAAAAGCTAGTGAGCTATGAAACTTATCTAATTAAAATCTTAATACTCGGGTCGGGCTAGGAACATATCATGTCTTTTTCTTATCATTAAACTCCTAGCTCTGCTTATGTCAGATATGACCACACCAATAGATTGATAAGGATCCAAAAGCATGTGTACTTACCGAATTACTAGGGCTATTGTAAAATGCTTAAATCCCCGTAGAATTGACCCATAAGCCCTAAAGTAGCTCCACAACCTTCAATGTCTTCTTCAAACACCTATGGGTTATTTTAAACTTCCAATAAGTATCAGGATCGATACGAGAAGCCCGTGGTTGGAAGTTGGAACAGGCCTAGGAGCAACCATTTGGAACGTGAGAGTTTCCAAATCCGGACAGCTATTGATCAAGAGCCTTTTTCCAATGAACTCATTTGGAAGAAGATTTGTCTTCATTACCAAATGTCGAGTTTCCATCGGTTCTCACAATCGAACCGGATCTTCTCCATCTTGGATCAACTTAATGAGAAAAGGACATACCGGTAACGTTCTTGCAGATAATAGATCATAAAGAAGACCACAAAGTTGTGTTCCCGTCTATGAAGTACTTTACTTTTTGAAGTAACTAACTTTGTGTGTGTTTGTGTATGTGTGTATATATATATATATATGACCACCACTTAGAAGCAAATGTAAGTCAGATTATTCTAACTAAAATGATATTTCAAAATAATAAAATACTAATGTTGTGTATATATATATATATTGAAGTGTAGAGAAAGATATTAAAAATAAATTCAAGGGGTAGCAAAAACTAATTAACGTCTTATACTGTATATATATATTTTTATCATCATATACTTTTTTTTATCTTTATATTTTACTTTAAGTGATGTAAAAATCATAGATAAAATATAGGAAAAATGTCCATGTATATTAAAGTGAAGAGGAAAAAACAGAAACAAATTGTAAGATTTTATTCCATATATTGCAGAATCAAAAATGAACAAAAATCTATTATTTTATTATCAAATGATTTGATCTTTACTTGTATTTTATTTAATGTCAAGAAAATAAAGATAAATTATAGGGAAAATGTCTCTCATTTATATTAAATTGAAGAGAGAAAAAGCAAAAACAAATTGTAAGATATTATCCCATATATTGCAGAAACAAAAATGGAAAAAATAGATAAATTATTATCACCATAAATTAATAAAATATTATACTCCCAATATTATTTATTTATTTGTTTTAATTGTTAAAACATTTTTAGAAAATGATGCTTTTAAACCTTTTTATGTATATAAAATTAATGTTTTGGATGTTATAAATTTTATAGTCTTAGACTTAAACATTTAATATTTCAAAGAGATTTCAATTTATTTTGACAATGAATAACAGAGATTATAAAATTCACATATACAAACGATATACATAAATCAAATTTATAAATAATGACATCTATTGTTGTATTTAGAAAACCTAAACTACGATTAAAACAAAAGTTATGCATATTCAAATTTTGAAAACTTATAATAAATTGTGGTTAATTATTTTTATGAAAATCACTAAAAATATTATATATATATATATATATGAAAAACACTAAAAATTGTGGTCAAATTTCTTTAACAAATCTTCCATTAAATTTACCTCTTAATTATATAGTCTACGCGCCCATGTTTAAAAATTTCCCAAAAGTGCTTGCTCTCTAAAAGGTAAAAGAAGATTCTTTCTTATCTGAACATTAGGGTTTGAAATCATTTCGGACATCACAATTCACACAATCTCATTTTCTCTCCGACCACAGATTATACAGAAAATTACTTCTTCTCCACCGGCAAAGATGTTTAACGTCAGCGCTTGTGACATCCGTGACAAACCCAGCCCCAGCAACATTGAAATCAAGAAGCTCGGTACGTTTTGTTATGATGATTTTGGTTTTTAATCTAGTCATATCTGAGTTAAGAGAACAATCTGTTGAAGAAAGATCTGATTTCGGTTTACATGTTCTCTACACAACTGTCACAGCTGACATCTTCAAGGAGAATTTTCAGCGTCTAAGAACCGAAGAAGGTGATGATCAAGACAACACCGGTAACATAATCACTTCTGTTCTATCATAGTTTGATGAGTTTTAAAAACATATAGTATCCGAAGATGGTTTTAACTTGTGGGATTTGTTTATTTGACACAGTACTGCTTGAAAGAGAAAAAAAAGTGAGGAAGATCAATTCACAATCCGAAGCTAGTACTTCTTCATCGGATAACTCTTCTTTTGTAGCCCTTGTCAAGGCTTCAAATCTAGAGGAAGATACTCTGGTGCGTTTACTTAAATTGTTTAGCCCGAATGTGTGAACCAGAGAGGTTGGAATTGTGAAACCTATTTTTGTTTTGTTTTGCAGTATCTTCCACAAGATTGCACAAGATCTAATGGTCTGAATCGAAAATGCCGCAAGATTGTTTTAACAGATGGAGGGAGTAGATCATGGGAAATGGAACTGAAATTCAAGAAAAACTTGGGTAGTTTTTACATAACGAGAGGTTGGAGACATTTCTGTGACGAAAACGGCAAAAAGGCAGGAAGTTTCTTTGTGTTCGAACTAACGATAAAGGAGGGAACACCTTTGCTCTATTTCTCCCCCTCTGAATCTACTATCAATTATACAAAGCTACCAACCCAGAAGAGATTTGTGACTGTAAGAGTCGTACCTGATTGTCTCAAACGTTGTAGACTGGTGAGTTTTTTTTTTCATCAAACAATAACTCTTGTTGGTTTTATTGCAATATAGTGTTCTTTTTATTTAATTCTCCTTTCAAAATATTTTTCAGTATCTCTCAAGGCGGTTCTTGAAAAATAATGGTTTGGGGGAAACAAAGATGGTAACACTACTGGGAACAGATGGTACAAGGAGGTTGGCAAATCTTGTACGGGAAACCAGTGGACGAATGAGCTTGGGTAGGGGTTGGGTTGAGTTTGTGAAAGCAAATGGTTTGAAGATAGGTCAGTACTTTACACTGGAGTCCATTTGGGCAAATGATAGTCCTATCCTCAAATTGTCTAGTACAAATGATTCCAAAAGTGATAAAAGGAAGCATAGAGAGAACTTTCCAGTAGCTAGCCACAAAGAGTTTGTTTCCACTGAGGCTAGCGATGGAAACGAACCCGAGAAAGACATGAACACAGAGGAGATGATTAATCAATCATCACTAATCGATAACCGATTTGTGATATTAGCACTCGAACCTGAGGATGCCAAAGCCGGAATGCTGGTACGTTTTAAAAACAAGTTCATTTTGTTTTTATCTTGAATCTAATCAATAACAAGCAATGTTTATCAAATATCTTGCAGTATCTTCCAAGTCACTTCATGAAAGCTAATGGCATCGACAAAATTGGAAAAATATATATGTTGGGTACAAATGAAATGGAGTGGTGGTGGGGAAATCTATTGACAAGAGATGGAATCGTATCTGTAGGATGTCGTTGGAGATACTTTTGTAAATCTAATGGCGTAAAGATTGGACAATATTTCAAATTAGAATATATGTATAAGTATGACACAAGGCCGGTACTCAAATTTGTCCCAAGTCCGGGGAGTAAAAGCTATGTTTAATTCTTCAGGTCCTACTTTAAAGCCAGTCCTTTTTGGTTGTTAAGTTAAAGGTCTAACTAATAAATAAATAAGTATCATCATGTATCATTCATTTAATGGAGTCTTTGTTGTTCAGTTAAAGAGGTATTATCAAAATGGCCATATTGTTTTTGTAGTCTTCTATCACAGGCATAATGGTGTATTTCTTTGTTGTGCAATATCAAAAACTAACTGTAGAAGAATAGAAAACTATAGTTCTCTCTTATATCCACTATTGCTTATTGACTTATTCCTATGTTAGAGAGTGTAAGGGCATAGGGTACAGTGGTACACAATGTTTCTCAAAAACAAATAAAATAAAACTTTTTTTATCCATATGTTCCTTGTCAATCTATTTTCTAGAAAAAGTTTTTGTTTCAAAAAGATAAAACATTTTAAATTATCTATGCATATTACTGATAACTTGTATACATGTTAGCGACTAAACAATCTACCAATGATATGGCTTTCAGGATCTAATGGTTAGTCAAAGAGTTGCGTAGAGCTTTTAGGGATTCTTTAATTTGTTTGGTAATTAAGCACACAGTTACATCGATTCCCTAGTTTATATTCAAGCACTTTAGCGGGTAAACATATCAACAGTATGTGTGATCTATATTTTTGGATCTAAGTGTAAGTATTAATTTGATATGCAGATGGGAGATATCGAGCTACTATGTCATATGATTGCTGCCAGACAACATATTAACACATTAGAAATTCTTTCAAGATGATGATGACATCGATCAAAGAGTGCACGACACCAACATTGATAATGCAAGACTACTATTAGGTTCTTCGGTTCGTGTACGACACCGAAATGGAGTGACGTAGAGGAGAATATATAAGGGTTCAGAGCTAGAAAACTTGATTAACCATATCATTCTTACTCTTTTACCACTTAATGCTTCAGAAGTAGTAAAAGCAGTGTCTTTGAAAAAGAATAAACCGAAAGTAGATACAGAATAAAATGAAGATGACCATAAAGGATGCTTCTATTGATGAGGAAGGAGAAACATTTGTCAAGAAGGAGATACGAAAGGAAAAAACATTCATTTGTTAGTTGTTTAATTTATGCTATCACCTATGATCAAATTGTTATCACTATGCGTTCGTTTAGTAATTATGTTTTCAGTCAACAAATCAGCTACTGAACGACTGAGTTTTTGAGAACAAAAATACAAAACTTTCATTACGACATATCTTCAGAATAAATAAGTCTCTAATACTATTTACGTGTATGAAGCTCGGCTTGAGCTAACTGCCACGATTGTCCTCTTTTTTTCCTAAACATAATATATCTAATGAATCTTTATCCACATTTTCAAAGATTTTTTTCATTTCTTGCTTTCCAAATATACCAAATAATCCATGGGTATGAAGATGAATCGACCTCTGAAGGTAATCTCCAAAATAAGTAATCCGAATTCGCGTAAATAGAAGTCGAAGGAAAATTCTCTAGAACCGTAGGAACCTGCGAAAGTGCTCAAATTTTTCGCTCTGAGTGGCATCTGCCGCATCCTGTGTCACAATTTATACCTCTTTTCCGCCGATTTTCTGTGACCGGCACACAACCTGATAAATTTGCTACAAAAAATGACGTAACTTAAACGGACATAGCACTTTCCAAATATGCTTTTAGTGATTTGATATCTGAGCCAATAAAAGACAAATTGCCATTCCAATTTTCTAAATGCGCTGTATGATATCCAGATTTAACTGTATATTTTCCCGATTTTGTGATATGCTAACCTAGGGCATCCTCCTTAGTTGGCGCACCCAAAGAAAGGTCACTTATTAGCGGGCATCTTCCGGATCAAAGAGCTCTTTCAAGAGATCAATATTCTAAAAATTTGACCGGCTGTCTATAAGATTTTTGATTTTTAAAGATGAGTCAATAATTAAACAATTACTTATTGTTGGTCTCGGGAATTGAGCTGGAATACACGAGTCATCCGAAACTGAGATGGACGCCGCAGAACCGACTCGTTTAATAAGTCTTTAATTAACCAGAGATCTAGCTGACATTATATTTCTCTATCCAAAGGATGGAGAGTATGATTTTATTTTATCCAGAAGATTGGATTTTCGAGAATATCGTCTTTTGAAAACTTTCACAAAAAGTGAGTCTGGAACCGTAATCAAACACCATAACTGTTTTGCTAATAATGCGGTATTAAAATCATCTACACTCCGAAATGCTAGCCCACCTTCCGATTTCTTACTGCACAATTTATTCCAAGTCATCTAGTGCATACCTCTTGATTCACCATTTGAACTCCACCAAAATTTTGGTGACCATACTTGTAAGTTTAGAAGTAATTATTTTTGGTAGTCTAAAGCAAGACATAACATAAGTTGGTAATGCCGCAGCTATCGATTTAACTGTGTAGATATTGATATTATAATTTTCATAATAAAGAGATATTTAAGAAAATCATAATTTTTTATTAACATGATGAATGTATAGGTATTTTTTCGTCGAGAGGGTCTAGCCGCTAAAGGAAAATCTCGTGCACAACTGTGGAAACACGAAACAGTGTAGAAAACATTTCTCCCCATTATTTGTTTTATCAAGCATGCAAATGAGTTTATGCGCGAAATTAGTTTTTATTCTATTTTATTATGATTATATATTTTTGTTCTTTTTTTTTTTATTGTCTGGATTTATTATTTATTACAAATTATGAGAACTGTTACATAGACGATTCTACAACGGACAATTCCTTCCGACCCTTATTAGATTCACGACAAACGACACCTCCTTCACCTTCTTCTTCATGCTCACCTCCTTCTTTATGCTCTTGATGGACACTTCCCTATCTGTGTAGAATTCTGGCGAACGGATATAATTGTACATCGCTGGAGATCTCCTGCACACTTGTCTCCAATAATCTGCAAATTTATTAATAAATCGCAGTATCTAGGACTCGAACCCCAGATCTCTGGATGTAGAAGCATTAATAAACCCTTAGTCAACCAATGGACCAAGGGGGCTTCCACTATATATTTTTGTTCAATCTCATTTATTCCAAAAATATTTTTAAAAAATGAAAATGCACTCAAATATCCATCCTTTAGCATTGATCTACAATTAATGATAAGCTGTTAATATTATTCAAACTTTCACTTACTTCGCCAAAGGATTACTAAAGTCTTATTCATAGATATATTTTTTTTTTGTTACTTACTAAGAACTTATTGTGCTGGTCTTGAGTATATATATTCCATATTGAGTAATGACTATTATGTAATGAATTTTCCATAACATAAAATCTTTACTATAGTTTTGGTCAACAAGTTCTATAATTTATTATTTTATAATAAATATTTTGGTATATCATAAACGACCATAGATGGAAAAATATCTTGCTCAAATAAATGATATATTTTTACTTAAACATAAAAATTATATTTTAAAACATTAATAAATAATACAACAAGTGTCCGAAACAATCAAACCACTGATGTATTCCAGACTTCCCAAATGTATGTACTTTATTAGAAATAGAAACCTACTTTATGTAGGCATGTTAATTAGGGCCAAAACCCGGCCCAGCCCTGAAAAACAGCGGGTTCGGATTTAAAAATATATGTCCAGAAAAAAATTGGGTCTTTTGCGCTAAGCCTGTTGGGCTAAAGGGTTTTTAGGGTTTAGCCCGGCCGGGTTCGAGCCGGCCCGAAAAGCCCTTAAAAAGAGATTTTTACCTTTTTTTAAATATTATTTTTTTTTTTGTCGTCTAGATTTATTATTAATTGCAAATTATGAGAACTGTTACATAGACGATTCTACAACTGACAATTCCTTCCAACCCTTACTAGATTCACGACAGACTACACTTTCTTCTTCGTAATCTTGATGAATACCTTCAATGATCCACGACCTGGCGACACTTCCTTCCCTGCGTAGAATCCTGGCGAACGGCTATAATTGTACATCGTTGGAGATCTCTTGCACACTTGCCTCCATTAATCTGCAAATTTGTTAATAAATCGCAATACCTGGGACTCGAACCCTACACCTCTTGGTATAGAAGCATTAATCAACCCTTGGTCAACCAATGGGCCAAGAGGGCTTTTTTTTTTTTTTTTTTGTCATCTGTAATTAAATAGTGCTCAAAAGAGCCATTCTTGTGGAATGTTGTTTACATAAGTGATATGAAGCGGTTCCGTACGAATTTTTCGTGCCAGATTATCCGCTTTTGCATTTGCACAACGAGAAATTAAAGATAAAGAGAAGGTAGAGAACTCTTCCTTGTCGCTCTGAAATTCCTCCAGATACACTGAGAAGGCCGGCCATTCGGTTGGGGAAGACACCATCTTCACCAGGTCAGAACAGTCTGTAAGGAATGCTACCTCTTGATTATCTGCACCAATCATACACTTCATCGCCCAAAGGAGGGCCTCGAATTCGGCATGTAGCGGAGATAGGCTTCTACGGAGGTTGGCAGCTCCCATTGTTGATGGCTCACCGTTTGATGGTGTACAAAACCACCCTATCCCGGAAAACTTGTCGCTGTCTTTCCAGGATCCATCCACAAAACAACGGTATCCTGTAAAATCCGAATCTAGGGACACCCCCCTCGTTTGAGGCCGATTTGGAAATTCCACTGAAGCCTGAGTTTCAGTATGAAGCTCCACTTGAGCTGAGTGCCACAATTGTGCCTCTCTTTCCGCTAACCGTAAAACCTCTAACGGATCGTTATCCACATTTTCAAACAATTTTTCATTCCGTGCTTTCCAAATATACCAAATAATCCAAGGAAAAGCTATAGAATCAAACTCCGATGGTATTCTCCAAAATAAATGATCCAAGTTTGCAAAAATAGAATCTGTGGGAAAAGTCCCCATAACCGTAGGAATCTGAGAAAGTGCCCAAACCTGTCTTGCAGGATGGCACTGAAAGAGTGTGTGATTGACTGTTTCCTCCAGTGCACCACATCTGGCACAACCAGTGTCACAATCAATTCCTCTTTTTCGTAAGTTCTCTGTAACCGGTACACAACCCGTTAAGATTTGCCATAAAAAATGACGTATCCTAGGTGGACACTGCACTTTCCAAGTATGAGCCTTTAGCTTATTGAAATCTGGCCCAATGAAAGATGAGTTGGTTTCCAACTTATCCAACCGTGCGGTATGATACCCCGACTTAACTGAATATTTGCCGGATTTTGTAAAATGCCAACCCAAGGTGTCCTCCTTGGTTGGCGCACCCACCGGTAGGGCACTTATTAACTCGACATCTTCCTGGTCAAAGACCGCTTTAAGGAGATCAATGTCCCAAAAATTAGATCGACTATCTATAAGCATGTTAACTTTTAAAGATGGGTCATTAATAGATCCATTACTTTTTGCTGGTCTCGGGAATTGAGCTGGAATCCACGGATCCTCCCAAACTGAGATGGAATTCCCAGATCCGACTCTTTTAATAAGTCCTTTACTAACCAGAGATCTAGCTGAGCATATACTCCGCCACCCATACGATGGGGAATATGACTTTATATTTTCCAAAGGATTGGATTTCCTATAATACCGCCCTTTAAAAACCCTCGCAAAGAGAGAATCCGGAACCGTGATCAACCGCCACAACTGTTTTGCAAGTAAGGCCGAATTAAAATCATCGACGTTTCGAAATCCTATCCCTCCTTCCGATTTATTAATACATAATTTATCCCAAGCCATCCAATGCATACCTCTGGAGGCACCATTCGAGCTCCACCAGAAATTAGCAACCGCACTAGTGAGTTTAGAAGTGATTGTTTTCGGTAGTCTGAAGCACGACATAACATAAGTTGGTAATGCCGCAGCTACCGATTTAATCATCACTTCTTTCCCACCTTTTGATAAAAATTTTGCCGACCATCCGTTAATCCTTGTCTGTAACCTGTCTCTAACAAAAGAGAAAATTTTTGTTTTTGAACCACCGAGACTTTCTGGCAACCCAAGATATGAACCCATACCACCAATATTAGAGATACCTAAGGTAGATTTGATATCTTCCTTCACACCGTCATCTACCTTATGCCCAAACTGGATCGAAGATTTGGAATAATTTATTTGTTGTCCCGAGACCGCTTCATATTGCTTTAAGATCCCCAAGATTACCCCACACTGATCCTTGTTAGCCTTACAAAAAAATAGACTATCATCCGCAAAAAGCAGGTGAGAAATCGATGGGCTTGCAGTTGCCACCTTGATACCCGTAATTAATTTATCCCGTTCTGCTTTCCGTATGTTCGCAATTAATACTTCAGTACAAAGAATAAATAGATAAGGAGACAGCGGATCTCCTTGCCGTAAACCCCTCTCTGGTACTATTAGTCCTCGAGGTTGTCCATTAAGAAGAACCCTATATTGGACAGTAGTGATACACCACATTATCCAACTAATCCATTTTCCACAAAACCCCAGTTTGGTTAAAACTTTTTCAACGAAAATCCATTCCACTCTATCATAAGCCTTACTCATGTCAGTTTTAATTGCCATGAATTTTCCTTTACATGATGGGTTAGTTCGTAACCCATGGAACATCTCTTGTGCAATAAGAATGTTATCCGAAATTAACCGTCCTTCTACAAAAGCTGATTGTGTTTCCGAGATCAGTTTTGGTAGTACTGTCTTTAGTCTTTGGCAAAGAATCTTTGATATAATCTTGTAACCAACATTGCAGAGACTAATAGGTCGTAGTTCCGTCATCCGAGTCGGTCTTTCCGTTTTTGGAATAAGACAAATATTTGTCGTATTTAACCGTTTGTCAAAATTCCCATCCTCTAAAAAAGAATTAACCAAACATAAAAGATCTACTTTAATGGTAGCCCATGCTTTCTGAAAAAACAATGCCGTCATACCATCTGGCCCCGGTGCCTTCTCCGGGTGCATCATAAAAAGTGCTGCTCTCACTTCACCCTCTGTTGCCGGGGCTATTAAAAAATCATTATTCTGATCCGTGATCAGACTTTGTACTTCTTCCAATGCATCCTCAAAAACCTCAGGTTTTGTTGTAGTGAATAAAGTCTTAAAGTAGGAAACCGCTATATTTTGAACCTCTTTATCTTCCGTTAACCATGTCCCATTCTCATCATGTAAACCCGTGATTCGATTCCTCGCCCGTCTCTGCTTCGTTAAAGCGTGAAAATATTTTGAGTTATTGTCCCCTAATTGCATCAAAGAGCTTCTGCTTTTCTGGTGCCAGTACAATTCCTCGTCCCGATAGGCCTCTTTCAGCCGTAATGTTAAATCCGTAATTTCTTCCCGTGATCGCCTATCGTCTCTTTGCGCTGCATATAGTTCCGATTTTAAATCTTCAATCGTTTGCCGACCATAGGGAGTCAACTCTCGTCGCCATTGCGAAATAGCTCGCCGACAATTAGTCAACTTTTCCACAAATTTCCCGTCGCCTGGTTCAGAATCAAAATTCCAACCATCTGCAATTGTCTCCAGTAAACCTTCTTTCCCTATCCACCTTTTGTCAAACCTGAAACTATGTTTCCCGCGTGGCATCTTATCCGCAATCGTAGCTAAGACCGGTGAATGGTCAGAAGCTACCATTTGTAAATATTCTACAAATGTGTTGCAGAATAATTCATGCCAATCTTCATTCGCTAGAGCCCGATCTAGACGACATCGTATTGGTTTTTTATCCCGCCACCCCCGCCAAGACAACCAATCGCCGATATAAGGAAATTCCAGAAGACCACAATTTTGAATCATTAGATTAAACGGGATAAAAGAAGACACGTGTCTTAATTTACCCCCTCGCTTTTCATGATTTCCAGTTAATTCGTTAAAATCACCAATTAAAAACCACGGAGAATCCCAAGATAAACCGGTTCTAGTTAACCGCTCCCACACTTGTTCCCGCTTACTAGGAACCGGGTCTCCATAAACAAAAGTGAGATAAATTACTTTGCCCTTAAAGTTTGCTTCAATATCGATCACACGATTACTTGCAAATAAAACCGAAACATGATAATCATTATTAAAAAAAAGGGCTAAACCGCCACTACAACCAATAGGATCCACCGTTTTTAAATTTTTATAACCAAAGTGACCTACAAATTTTTCCATAAAAGAAGAAGATTGTTTAGTTTCCGACAGAAATAAAAAATCCGGCCTATGTTGCTTCCACAAATCCCGAAGATACCCAATTGTTGCCTTATTTCCTAACCCTTGACAATTCCAACTTAAAACTTTCATTTATTATCAACCTTTCGATTAAGTGGGTTGCGTCCACCTGTTAATCTCTTCACCGTGCCATGGTGCGTCGGGTTATGCCCTTCATTCCCTTGATTATTTCTTAGAGAAACCAAATTACAATTGACCATTGATATTCTTACCCTTAAAGTATCCACATCCAACCATGAAAAACCCGAAATCAAACTATTGTAAAAACGTTTGTTACAACCAATGAAACTCCACTCCATACACTCAAAATCCAAAATCAACCTACCCACATCATAACTTTTAGAAATATTCCGACCACCCACAATAGCCCATGGAAGAGTACTCAACGCCCTCCTTCTCCTATCACCGGAAAACCATCTGTTAAAAACTCCTTCACCTGACCTTCTCTCCTCAATCGTTTTCAACCGAAAACCTCTTTGATCCGTAGTCCAAGACCAACCTGCAACTGAAACAATCTCAAATTCCAATAACAACACCTCCCAATCCACAATATATATTCCACCAAAGCTCAAACCCAAAAACTCAAACCCCAAATACAACCGGAAAAAAAACCATAATCGAAGCAAATTCCGACCACCATCAATAACCATCATGTCCAAACGATACATTCCTTTTATTAATATTTCAATAACACAGATAATATAGCTTACATATAGGATCTGAGAATTGAAACCAACATAAAAGGCTAAAATAAAGACCGAGAGAGAATTATTAACCATGTTGCTCATGATGTTTCCATGGGATCCTTGACTAACCATGGAGCTTTGAGGCATCACTTCCACCAAAACAATAAGAAACCAGAATAATATAAACCCAAGAAAAAGATACAACCAATAAAACCCAAGAATTATGAAGTCCAAGGCTAAAAATAAATCGTTGATGCTTTGAATTGCTGAAAATGAGATGAGGTGAGCAATACCACCAGGCTGTGACACTGATTTATATACACCCATCTTCAAATCTATATCTCCTTCAAAGTAAATCATGGAACCGCAAAAATCAATCACTATTATGACCATTAAACCCCACCGTGAAATCTTAGCTCTTCTAGCCTTTATCAGATAGTAAAGAAACCTTGATAAGGCTTCTAGAATCTCTCTCCGCTCGCTTACTCTTTGTACTTCCTCTGAATTTCCCTCATCAATTGACCAAAACTCACCCAATGAAATTACAACCGGAAATAATTTCTCCAGCCGTAAACCTTTGCCCTTTTGCACCACGATCGCTACCGATATAAACCTTTCCAGATATGAAAGATTGAGCTCATTTAAAACCAAGTGACTCACCTGAGATCTCCGAGAGATATCAATCTCCCAAATAAGATGAAAAAACATCTCTGGTCTTAACACCCGACTCTCCACTCCTGTCCATAGAAACTGATATCGTAGAATTCTTCTACTCCTTTGAGCTGTACCCATTGAAATCAGATAAAATATGTATAACTCTACCACCGTGAGCTCTTCCCCAATCACACCCATTTGATACCCTCTATAGAGGGCTTCTTTGTTAATATTATTGTTTAATTAAGAGATTTGTTTAAAGATTTTTTTTAATAGAGTTAAAAATCCTAAACCTAGATTTCTAATTGTGTCTTACAATAAGTGTTATGATTTTATATTTTATTTAGTGTGGGTTTAAACAATTTATTTGGATTATTTATTTGATTTTAAACTTTTTTAAAACTAAATTGGCTTTAGTAGGTTATTTAAGTTTCGTTTGACTCGTTTTATACATAGATTCTTTTTTTTCAAGAGATATTATACATTAGAAGGGTTTATTTTTCTCGAAAGAAAAACCCGTAAAGCTCTATAACCCTGTTAGGGCTGGGCCGGACTTCAAAATCTAGGCTCAGAATTTTTACGGGCCGGACCGGGCCGGACTCAAACATATGCAGGTTTTGCGGGCTTCGGGCTGGGCCGGACCGAGCTAGGCCGATTGACATGCCTAACTTTATGTGGTTTTGAAGGTTTGAAAACCATCTTTTAGACCTTTTTTCTTTGGCCATGGAAATTTTTGATAATTGCAACTACATTTATACTTGCATACTTTTAATAGAGTATTTAGTGTAATATATCATGAAGATTTGTACATATTGTAAGGATGATTTTATAAGCTTTGGCTTGGACGTTCTTTTATACTTTTTGTTGTATTTATTAGATCGCGAGTAAATAATTGTATCATAGAATTAGGATGAGATAATATAAATATATATATATATATATGGGCAGAAACGTACTTTTATTCATGCGAGTACATATTGTTCATTGTAAATTGAGAGTACATTTTGATTAGGAATTAATCCCAGCAGCAACAGTAAACATCACCTAGGAATTTTGTACAAACACCCCCTCTCTTGGTACCTAGTGCTGCACATTTTGCATTGCATTCCTTTGCACCTTTACATAACTCCGCAATACGACATGTAGCCTTAAGTTGGCCTATTAGGATCATAAACATTAATAATGTTTTAAATACAAAAATATTAATATAAGATTTTAACATTTAAATTGCAAAGGGAAATAAAAAATTTTGTATATAGGGTATCTGAAAGATCTAAAAGAATTATAGAACGAACAATATATATTTGGTATTCGGACAATATAATACTAAAAAAATAAAATGTTACCTGCAACCATGGGTATAAGGATTAGTGCGAAAACCATCAACACAGGTATTAAAAGAGATGAAGTTTTCTTGGTTGCCATTAGAAATGTTTCTAGATGATGCAATCAGAATATCCTTCAAAACCAGCAATATATAAAAAAGTAAGGTTCAAAGCTATTATATGAAGAAATGTTTGTATAAGAGTCATATATACACATAAAAAACAAAACAATATATATATATATATATATATATATATGTATATTAAAAAGTATTTATCGAAATAATCAAAGACTTCTTTTCACTGTTTAATAAAAATAGTCTTCTTCTTCAACATAAAACTTCTAACATTTGCTACGATAATTGAACAAATATATTTACCTTTTGATTTTCTTATATTTTGTTACTTACTACTAAGAACTTATTGTGGTTGTCTTGAGTGTGTATGTATATATATATTCCATCTTGTGTTTTCCATAACTGAAAAGTTTACAATAATTTTGGTCAACAATTTTTATTATTTCTTATATCATTCTATTTATTAAAGGACAATAGATGGAAAAGTATCTCTTACATTTAAATGGTTTGTTTTTATTCGAACATAAAAATTATTTTTTAAAATATCAATAAATAATACAATAAGTGTTTTTAACAATCCAACTATTGATATGTATTTGAAACTTCCCGAATGTATATACATTGTTTTAAGGGATCAGTTGAATACATATTGTTTGTGTTATCAAATCAAAATAAATCATAATGTATTATAATTATGATATTTTAATCCGCACATCACAAGACCTAGTTAACTTAGTCTCATACCATTTGAACTGTCCGTTTCTATAACACCAGAACACGTTATCTATCATGCAACAAGAAAACAGTACATGATAACCACCAATCCATAGTTTCGTCTATCAGGTGCTTCACCACAAAAGGTCTTGACTCATGCTAACAATCTAACGGTTTAACAAAAATCGAATCGAACAGAAATCGATCAATCTAAATCTGAAAAGCAGTTTCTTATAATTCGAACGGTATAAAGGTTGTATATTGAATTCCAAAACTGAACTAACCGAAATTTATTAAATAATTAAAATTATATAGGATTTCCAATTCGACATACTAAAATTTAACTAAAATTATTCATTAATTATTTTTTGTTATAATGTTTTATCAGACAACCAAAATGAACAGTACCACACTGAACTAAAATTCATTTATATATTTAGTGTGAATTTTTCCAAACTCCAAAAATCTGAAACAAACTAAGCAAAAAAACCCTTATGCCCAGAGCTAGAGGTTGGGCTTCTTATCTTCTAATGTATTTATGTTGTATGTTAAAGCTTTTTCACATGCTTTCTTGCTTAACAGATGCACCAAAGAAACTCTCTTTGATATACTATCCAAGTTGTTGTTTCAATCGGAGGAAGTGTAGTTATAAGATCCACCAATTGGTATGTTTTCTTTTCACCAAGAATAGAATGTGAAACTCACATCATTTGGTGATATTGTTTGGTTTAATTTTAGTTATGAATAATGGAGAATATGTATAAGTGTATAAGGGATTACCATTTGGATTGTTGTGAATCTAGAAGCCTTATCACATAAAATTGTTCACTGTAGGAACTGATTAAAAACAAAATTGTTACAAGATGATGAGTTTGAGATGCATACACAGTGGTATTGTGGTAATGCTTTTGTTACAAACCAAAACACCATTGCTCTTAAGATATTTTTTTATTGCAAGTAAATAACTTTGTTTTGTGACTAGTACGTCTAATATCTCTCGTTGTTCAAATATACAGTGAAGCTCGGCTATAGAAGTGTCTCAGACTTTACACCTGCTGAAATTGCAATCCAGGTAAGCCTCCACGTTCCCATTCTTATGTGCACATTGAAGTCTATTATTTTGATAAGCTTAACTACACGATCATTAATTCTTATTCACCAAGCCATTGAGCAAATTTGAATTGATAAAAAAAAAAAAAAAAATTAACGGTATGGCTATATTCAGCTGCATCTAGTTAAGCAAAAAGAAATCAGACCCTTAAAACATTATAATTAGACCACTTATTTAGAAAAAAGAAAAAAAAAACTTTTTTGCCAATCCTTGATAGATTCACATTAAAACTTTTAAATTTTAGCCCAAATTTTCAATATAATTAAATTTTTAGGTCTATTTATTTACTTCTTCTACAAAATGGGTCTTTTTGTTAAAAAAATTATTTTTTAAATGGTTATAGATCTTGGGCCGTGGCACTTTTGCCCACCTCTTTAGACCGAGCATGTTCCCAACATCTTTGAAGCGTGCATGCATCTAGATCTAGATAACTATGATTGTTAGATCAAAGACTTAAAAATCGTTTTTCTTTTATTTTACAACAGGCTTTGCCCTGTATGCCTGATTGTATCCCTGATTCGGCCCAATCAAAGATTGACTAAGTCAAACAGTCTACTAACAGAAAAAAAACAGTCTATCAGAATAACGGCCCATCATAACAATGGCCCATCAGAACAACGGCCCATCAGAACAACGGCCCATCAAAACGTCGGCTCGGCTCAGTAACGTATCAGCTCGGCCCGGCCCAACGGAATCAAAAAGGCAGAAGAGGGAAATCACAAGAGAGATCAAAGGAATCCTAGGTCACCTCCTAGCCTATAAATAGTAGAAGAAACCGTTGAGAAGGGGATCCGGACCTAAAGTCATTACTCAGAGAATTTAAGAGAGAATTGTTGCCTAGCTCATTTATCTCTTACTTTCTGGTTTTCTATTCTGTATTTCGGTTTTCCGTTCTGTACTTCGGTTTTCCGTTTAATTTATTGTTTTCTCATTCATCGTTAATAAAGAAGGCTATTCCGTTCTCCCTAATACCCTTATATATTTATTGTTACAACTTCCGTACAAGTAAACAGTAAAGAAAAATAAAAAGGTGATATTCATTTGTATTATTTGTGTATAAGAATTTCAACAAGTAATCAGCAAAGACATTGTGAATTAAAAGACTAAAACAATGATCTTGGAGTGTTTATGGTGCGTTTGTTTAAAGATGATCTCATATCACGAACATGCTAGTTCGCAACTATTTTCTTCTTGTAATGTAAATAATTAAATTACTTATTCTAATATATAATCAGTTTATTTATATTTCAAATAAAAAGTATATTAACTTATAATTCGATTCAGATAAAATATTAGGACAAACTTGAATTAGGTTAAATCCTATCTTGCTTGCTAAATTAGAATCTCACGATCACAAAGAAACTAACATACTAGGAGAACACAAAAGAAAAGTTTCCACTGATATTTAACAAGTTTCGGACATACAAACTAGTTTTACTTGACCAAACAGGACAAGAAGCTTTTTCTTTTGTGTTCTTACGGACATACTTGTACAAAGGGCCCAAAAGAGGACAATGCCCAGGCATAGGCCCAATACTCAGAGGGAGTGAACGAGCGAGCATAGTTGTATTGAGGGGACAAAAAATAAAAAAACGAACACGACAACAAACAACAATTTTCTTTCAGAGGAACAGAAATTGAAAGGAAATTGCATAGTCCAAAGCAACTCCTCTATTAGTATGATATTGTCTGTTTTGGGTTAAGTAGCCAAGCTTGCATAGATTTATTTTTGGTTACTTTTCCAAAAAATCTCATACTAATTGAAGTTGGACTTCACTTACATTAGACAATTCTTTTCTAACCTTCCTATATGGGACGTTGGTTTGTCTCCCAACAATCCTCCTCTCAAACCTAGGACCATGAAATTTTTGCCTCCCCTCTAGCGAAACTTTGGCACCCAGGCACAAACACCCCTTATTCGCGAGGTCTCCTTGAGATTCCCTTTTAATCGTGTCATATTGAGAACTCCTCCACACAGAGCATGTAGCCCAAGCCCATCTTCTTGATCCACCTTTTTTGACCTAGACTCTGATACCAATTGTTGGGCTTTCCAAACCCAAGCCAACTCCCTTTTGGGCCAAGTAGCCAAACCCGCACGGATTTTTTTGTTGGGCTCTTTTCCAGAAGGTCTCGTATTTATTGGAGTTGGATTTAATTTATATTAGACAATTCTTTTTTAATTTTCCGATGTTTTGTCCAACATTGTGTGAGAGAAATGCTGAAAATTCGTCTGTGTAATTCTTTGTTTTCTTTAAAATGTGCTCACTTGATAACAATGACATGAGCTTCATGAGTTGGATCCAACCAAAGCAGAGACTTTTATGCGAACCCGTATTCCTAAGGTTTGATGGATTAAACCACAAAAGAACCTTTAGTGACTCAAGGTTATGTACCGTCATTTACAAAATATTGTGGTATTTGTTCTTAAAACTACATGCATTATAAAAATAACAAGCAAATCAGTCACAACAAGTTATTTAATAAATTGATATGATTAATGATATGTAATAAATATTTTAGTAAAAAAGTTGACTATCTTTTAATACTACTTTATCATTTGGTTATTTAGTTAATGTGAAAAATTGGTTTCATTTACTATGAGTATTTTACTAATTTACTTTATTTAACTAAATAAAAATTTTGATTTTTTAAGCTAAATTAGGTTCATGTTTAGCTAATATTAATGATTGTCTTACCAATGATAGTTTCCAGTAGATATGGATAGTAAATTAGGTCCATGTTTAGCTAATATTACATGTTTAGCTAATATGGATATGTATTAGGGTAAATTTTGTGTTTGAAAAAATGACACGTGTCAATTTGAGAGGTGACAAATTGATACGTCGTGGATTTTCATCTAATCAAGAAAAATCAACTTTTCTAAAAAAAATCTTAGAAATTAAACCAAACAAGAAAATGAACTACAAACCCAATAACTTATGCGATTCAGCTTTCAACCGATTTAAAAATATATTAATTTTGGGCGGGAACTTATCCATTTAAAAAAAAAATCCATCAATTTGTTTGAAACACAAAAACATTACCGTTAGCAAATCATACCAAATTGCGCGGGAGATTATCTAGTAGAGGAAACTGAACTTTTAGAAGCCCCATCGATCCCAAATTAAAAAAAAAAAAAAAAAAAACCAGGTTTGGTCAAATTATTTTAACAAAAGCTTCCATTAAATTTACCTCTTAATTCTAAAGGGTGCGTTAAAATTTCCTTAAATTGCATGCTTTCTAAAAAGTAAAAGATGATTGCTCTTATATCTTAGCATTAGGGTTAATTTGTTGGGTTTAAAATCATTCGGACATAAAAAAAAATTCATTTCCATCTCTCTTCTCTCCGACAAAGATGATGTTTAACGTCAGTGCGTGCGGCCTTGGAGAATTACCTACGCCCAGCAACAACAAGATCGGTGAGTTTGGTTCCAATTTTGGTTTTTAATCTACGACGACCTATAGTCAGATCTGAGTTGAGAGAACAATCCTTTAAAGAAAGATTTTGTTATTATCCGTGTGCATGGATCTATGTGACGGGAGAGTGTTTACATGTTCTACACAGGTAACATCTCGAGGAAGCAGCATCAGCGTTTAAGGACAGAAGAAGGTGATGATCAAGACAAGACCGGTATCATGATCACTTCCGTTCTATCTTAGTTTGATGAGTTTAAGATTAAAAGCTGGTTTTTAACATGTTGGATTTTTGTTTGACACAGTAGTACTTGGGAGAGGGAAAAGAATTCGAAAGAACAATTCACAATCCGAAGCTAGTTCGTCTTCATCCAACAAATCAAATCTGAACGAAGATGTGGTGAGTTTACTTAAAGTCACATATGAACTGCTGTTTCTAGATTACTGTCTCTTGTTAGTCCAGTTTGGTTTAGGAGAAAACTTGTAACTCTACCATAATAAGTTCAATATGGTTTTTGTTTTGTTTTACACACTATCTTAGGTAAATCTTTATTAAGTACTTTTTCAATTTGTTTTACCTTCAATTTTGATTTACATTGGTGTTAATTTTACTGAAGTCATACCAAACTTTGTTTGGATTCTTCTAAATAGAAATCAAGGAAATTAAGAGATTTGGGGTTGGTGGATTAAATTCATATATTATGAGTATTAAGGGATGGATGGTATTTTCCCATATTTGTTAGTCATGGGTATCCAAATGACAGTCACATCTCTTGTATTTCCTTTGTTTCCTATCATATGGTTTACTTTTGATAGGCTCGATTCCATTCATATGGAATCATGAAACTAAAGAAAATGTTTTTTTTTTTTTTTCTTAATGTCTTAAAGAGAGTGTTCTTTCTGTTAGTGATAATTGGGAACGTTCAGTCGTATGTTACATATTTTTTATACATTAATATATGTGTATGTATATTAATGAGTGTCTTCTGGAAACAACATTTTCACAACACAATCATGATTGATATATTATTGTAAAATTTGTTAGTCAAGAAACTAATATAAGTTTTGTACAGCTTGGAGACAAGAAAAGCTTCATTACTCTAAAACTTACAAATGATGGCCACAAAAAAAGTAGAGTGGTGAGTTCGTTAATCAGCTTTAATTTGTTTTAGATTGTTAGTTAGTTTTATCAATAAAATGTCACTCTTATTTATTTGTTATAAATATAATCTCCATTTAAATAATTTCTAGGGTCTTCCACTGCCCTTCATGAGGGCAAATGGCTTGAACAAACCTGGGGAGATTGGTATGTTGGCAAAAGATGGTAAAAAGCTGATGGTAAATCTTCTAAAAGATGTAAATGGAAGAATGAGTTTGGGAAGAGGATGGAGAGACTTTGCTTTAGTAAATGGCTTTCAAATTGGTGAATCCATCACGCTGGAGTTGATTTGGAGAGATTCAAATCCTATGTTTAGATTTTCCAGTACTGGTACAGATTCTGAATGTGATCAAAGGCAAGGAGAGTATTGTTCGCAAGCTTGCGAGGAAGAGCCTATTTGCATTGAGCCAAGTGGTAACAGAGACAAGAAAGAAAAGAACAACATTGAGGACAAAAAGTATTCATCTTTAGAAACACTAAACCGAGTCTTGACATTGACACTCAAACCTAAAGATGTCAAAGACTGTAATCTAGTAAGTTCATCAAACAAGGTTAGTTTCTATCTTGAATTATAATGAATAACTAGTGGTGTTGTTCAAATATTTTGTAGATTCTTCCAAGTGAATTCATGAGAGCTTATGGCATCGACAAGCATATGACAATAACTATTTTGGGTAAAGCTAATATGAAGTGGTGGGGATATCCATCGTCAAGAGATGGAACTATAGCTGTAGGTATTGGTTGGGCAAACTTTTGTAAGGCTAATGGCATCGAGACAGGAAATTTGTTTACTCTAGAATTGGTATCTGAAGAAGTAGACACAAGTCCGATGTTTAGGATATGTCCCAACTCCGGAGACTAAAAAAAGATTTTTTTAACTAAAAGCATGTAAAGTGCTAGAACTCTAAAGAAGTACTCATTTTGTTTATTAAATTTAGAATTAATTACGGATTTTGCCATTTTTCATAATGGCATTTGTGGATTTTGCCATTTTTTGAATAGTTTGTGGATTTTGCCATTTTTCAGGTTCCAAAAATATGATTTAACATGTGTTTCACTCGTTATGTTTGGGTTTAGTCGGTTCTATTTGTTCTTAGGGTTTAGTATTTGGTATAAAGTACGTATTTTTGCAAAAAAAATAATAAATACATACATTTTTAAGTGTTAAAAAATGGCAAAATCCGTAAACTATTCAAAAAATGGTATTTTGCGTAAGTTTTCCAAAAAAATGGCATTTTAGACAATAATCCCTTAAATTTAAGAAGCCAAGTAATAAATATGATTCATCATATATCTTTTAATGGAGTTTATATGTTATTGGAATGGCCATATTTGTTTCAAATTAAATTTTCATTTATAATATTAGCCTGACATATATCTATTGTTACATTTTGAAAACCAAAACTACATTATTACATTTGTTGGTCTTAGGGTCTAGAATGCAATTTTTCTAATATAAAAATATACTACAGTATGTTATCTTTTTTATTTATCAATGTATTGGTTATATTATCTATCTAAATAGTATGAAACTATTTTTATAAAAGCCGTATACCCTAATTAGTTACATTTAATTAAAAATTTAATGTTACCTAAAATATAAGTCACATTTTCATACAAAAAAAAAATATAAGTCACATTTACAAGTAAAACAATAATCAAATTACCAAAGAAGAAGTAAAACAATAATCAAAGCAAATAAAAGCTAGTCGAGATATATTATCTTCATGACAAACAGAGAACCGAACTAAAAAGAGATACAAAGGCTTCAGAGCTGGAAGAGAAGCATTATCAGGGACCATATCAATATCAATTCCTCTAATGGCAGTGTAATCACATCTTTATTGAGTGTATCCAGACCAAGATTCAAGACACCACCACGACTAAGCACGCTAATCAAGTAATCATCCAATGATTGATATAAGCTGATTCAACACTGGAATTTCCTCATGGTTCATTTAGGGTAAAAGTTGAAGCTCTTAAAATCTTTAGGGTAATTTTGTCTTTAATTCATTTGAATTTTTTTTTTTGTTTGGGTTATTTTCTTAATTATTGTTTTTTGTTGGGTATATTTGCAAATTTCCCTAATTTATTTTTGTTTGTCAAAAATTACAAAAAAAGAAAGAATAATAAATTAAAAAAAAAAACTGCGACCGTCTCAAAATTCGAGTGATTTGTGATTTTTTTTTTAAGGCGAATTCACTCGTTCTGGGCTTACCGATTAATCCAGAAGGAGAAATGATGATCCAGGTCTCAGATCACCATGACAACAACATCGGTAAGTATCAATTTTCTTTATTCTACGAACTTAATCGATGTTAATTAACCTTTGAGACCAGTTTGTTAATTCGATTCCAATCTGCAATTTTAAAGCAATTACATGGCTTTTTAAACATTGGTATATAGAAATGAGTTTCAAGAAACAGTTACATATTGAAATTAAAGCATTTAAGGTTTAACATTTTGGGTGTGTTCTGATACACAGAGTTTCAAAGACAGAAGAACAGTTCTGAAACAGAAGCAGATTACTCTTGTTTTGTCACAGCTTCAAGTCAACAAACAGATGCACTGGTGCTTTTGAATTTGATACGTTTAGCTTATAGTTATGACACTTTTGTTGATTGGTCTTAACTGATTTAATCTGACTCTTGTGATAATCTGGTGTTAATTTGCAGTATCTTCCACAAGATTTCACTAGCTCAAATGCTCTTAACAGAAAATGTAGCAGGAGTCCGAGACAGATTATAGCATCGTATTCGTCAAGCGAGAAACCGTTCGTAACATTTACACTTGCATCTGTTGATGGCAGACATTGTAGACTGGTGAGATCATCATAGAACTTGTACCTGTTAGTTTCCTCTATTCTACTTTTTTTCTGTTGTGACTCTTGTTCGATTTTTCTACAGCGTCTTCCGATGCAATTCACGAGGGAGAATGGGATTAACAAGCCTGGGAAGATATATTTGTTGGGTAAAGATGGTTCAAAGTGGCTTGCAAATCTTCTTTCGGAAAACAACAGAGGAAGAATGACTTTGGGAGATGGCTGGAAAAGTTTTGTTAAAGCAAACGGTTTAAAGACGGGTGATACTTATACATTCAAGTTATTTTGGGATGACACAATTCCTGTGCTTAGTTTGTGCTCTGAAGAGTACAACACTGACACAAGAGTAGGAGAAGAGTGTTCGAAAGAGTCTCTTCCCACAGAGCCTAGTAGCCAAGAAAAGGTCGTTAAAGATGACAACAACAAACATGAATCCAACAAAGATGAAAGCAGCTTATGGAAGAGAGAGGATAATCATCTGAGATGCATAGATTCAACTTCACCAAGCGAGAACCGGAGCCTGACATTAACAATCACGCCTGATAGTCTCGAACATGGTAGACTAGTGAGTTCAACAATCAACTCTTGTTCAATTTCGTCTTATCATAAAATGTTTATAAAAACAAATTCTTTGTTCATATATTTTCTAGCGGCTTCCGTTGCAATTCATGACGGAGAATAACATGAACAAGCCCGGAGAGATAACTCTATTAGGTAAAGATGGTGCAAAGTGGATGGCAAGTCTTCTACTAGAAAGAAGAGGAAGAATGAGTTTGGGGAAGGGCTGGAAAGATTTTGCTAAAGCAAATGGCGTAAAGACGGGCGATTCCATCACTTTGGAGTCAATATGGGAAGACACAACTCCTGTGCTCAAGTTAATTAGTATAGAATCTAGCAGTGGTCAGTTTTCTAAAGAATCTCTTTCCGTAGAACCTAGTAGTGGAAACATGACTGAGAAAGCAGAAAAAAACAGAGAAGCAAGCAGAAAGTATCCTCCTAGAAGTAGAGAATCATCTTCAGCAATCGAAAACCAATTCATGGCATTAACACCTTCATGTGATATAATTAGCCAGGTCGCTCATGATCTTCGAATTGGCGAGGTCATCATTTTCAGACATGAAGGAGATAATATGTTACAAGTCTCAGATTTGGGACCCAATTGTTGTGGTATTCTAGATGTACCGGCTCCAAGCAGCAACAATGATCATGACAACATCGGTAAATTTGATAATATTTATTCTACGAACTGGAGTTAATCTGGAGATATGTTTCAATTACACTGTAACGTAGACAAGTTTGTTAAATGCAATCTGATGATTATTTCCTGATACAGGTACCATTTCGATGGAAATGCATCCACACTTAAGAAAAGAAGCAGGCTTTTCATCATATGATGGTTATGCTCATGAAAACTTTGGTATATTCAGTTTTCTTCTATTTTAGTACCATATATGGATGATTTCTTACTTTGGTGAAATTGTCACGAACAGCTACAAATTGAAAAGACATACCCTTTTAATATAAAAGCATCTGAGGTTTTAACATGTAGGGTGTTTTTGATACAGAGCATCCGAGTAAGAAGAAAGTGAAGAAGAACAATCCAGAAACAGAAGCAGATTATTTATCAGACCACTCTTGTTCTGTAGCCCATGTCACAACTTCGAGTCTACACGCAAATGCATTGGTGTGTTTTTAAAATTCAGTTTATTTTACTCCTGCATTAACTGATATCTCATGCTAAAGGTTTTGCATATTCATTAGCTAATTGACTATTGTTTCTCGGGGTAGAAATTTTGGTTTTGATAATCTTTTAGGTTCTTCAGCTTGGTTAAAATGCTTGGGACTGAGTGAACAGTTTTCTAGGGATGAGCATTTTGGTGTTGGTATAGTTATGTCAATTTCCGTTGAAGTAAAATCATATCAATGATAACTTAGATTCTGGTATCCATTGATTGTAACAGCTTGTTTAACTATATGAGCTTTACTTCAGTTTGGTTAACTTTGGTTTAAGAGAAGAATTTGCTAAGGAAAACCAAATTTCTTTTTGATTTTGTTTGGCTCGATTTGGTTTATTACTCTTTCATATTGATTCATGAACCTAACCAAAATATTCTTTCACGTTGGCTATATTATCATCCCAGAGCCTAGCAGTAAAAGAGTCTATAACCATAGAGCCTAGCATAGATGACAACAACAAAGATGAAAGTAGCAAAGAGGAAAACGACATAGAGGAAAAAAGCAACAACAAAAACAACATAGAGGAGAGCAGCTCATTTGAGAGAGAGAAGAATCATCGGATATGTATAGATTCGATTTCATCGAGCCACAACCGATTTCTGACATTAACAATCACACCTGACAGTCTCAAACATGGTAGACTGGTAAGTTAATCTATCAACTATTGTTCTTTTTTATCGCATATCGAATGGGTTTCATATCGTATTCTCTGTTCATATCTTTTCTAGCGTCTTCCACTGCAATTCATGACGGAGAATAGCATGAATAAGCCCGGAGAGATAACTGTGTTAGGTAAAGATGGTGCAAAGTGGCTGGTAAGTCTTCTACTGGAAAGAAGAGGAAGAATGAGTTTGGGTAAGGGCTGGAAAGATTTTGCTAAAAAACACGGCTTAAAGACGGGCGATTCCATCACGTTGGAGTCAATCTGGGAAGACGCATCTCCTGTGCTCAAATTGCTCCATATAGAGTCAGGGCAAAGTGAGTTTTCAAAAGAGTCTCCTTTCATAGATGCTAGCAGTGGACACAAGACAAGGGAAGCAGAGAAAAACAGAGATTCATCTTCAGAGATCGAAAACCGATTCCTTACATTAACACTTGCACCTGAAGATGTCAAGGATGGTAATTTGGTAAGCTTATCACACAACTCCTGCTCTTAGAGGTTTTGTTTTGAATTTCATTTGGTAATGAGATGTGCTTGCTCAAATATCTCGCAGCATCTTCCAATTCAATTCATGAGAATTAATGGCATCAACAAGCCTGGAAAGATAACTTTGTTGGGTAGAGGCGGTTTGAAGTGGTTTGCATATTTATTGTCAAGAGATGGAACTGTCGTTTTGGGAAATGGTTGGAAAGGTTTCTGCGAGGCGAATGGCGTGATGTTAGGAGAGTCTTTTATTTTGGAATTCATTTCCATAGAAGATACAAATCATGTATTTAAGTTCTACTCCAGCTACGGAGACCAAATAGATAAATGTTAATTAGTACTTTTTCAAGGTTTCTCAAATGTTTTCTCAGGATATCACATGACAGATTCTGCTTATATCATTGGAATGATGGGCTGCAAAGCATTTGCTAAAACAGTTAAAGCAAATGGCTTAACGACTGACGAATTCTTTACGTTGAAGTCCACTAATGATATCAGGTAGGAAGGAGACTACACTTGATGATGCTAGAGATTATCATCTGGTAAAGCTCAGTCATAAAACAACTCTTGTTTCAAAGATGGGTTGGTTTATGTCTTGATTCTAAATGGTGGTGACTATGAGGGTCCTTAATTTCCATTTGGATCGAGCTGGAGTCACTGTTTTGGGTTTATCAGTAGGAAGCTGCAACATTGTGGATCACCTTTGGACGATGGATACTACGATAATGCATTATCGATATGTATCTGATATTAACCACGAGAGAAGTGGAAGAATTTACGATTTTCACGTATCGTAAATCTCATAAAAGAAAGATGTTTGCAAAGCAAAGGAAGAGGGAGGTTTGGGGTTAAGATCAATATCTGAGGCGAATAAGGTGAGTAGTGTGAAACTACTTTGGCAAATTTTATCTGCCCACTCTTCATTATGGGTCAACTGGGTTCGGATGTATTTAATACGCTAAGGATCTGTGTGGTCGATTAAAGAAATTTCATCTCTTGGCTCATGGACATTGAAAAAATTATTGAAATACAGAGAGCTAGCGGCTTCACTGAATAAAGTAGAAGTCTATAGTGGAGCATCCACATCATTCTGGTTTGATAGATGGTCACCGCTGGGTAGACTACTTGACATCACAGGATCACAGGGCAGCCGAGGCTTATGGTACACATCCATTTGAAAGTGGAAAGTGTGTTGGCAACACAAAGACGCCAAAATCATAGAGTGGATTATTTGAATGATATGGAAGAAGTGATCGTTTTACAACGTCAAAGAGGTTCATTGATCGGGGAGGATGTGGTTTTATGGAGACATAAAGAAGACAAATTCAAGCCCAAATTCAGTTCGCAAGCTACATGGCAATTATTAACTCAAGAAGCGCAGCCAATAAAGGAATGGTATAAGGGTATATGGTTCACTCACGCACACCCAAATACTCATTCATTGCATGGCTCACAATTCATAACAGATTATCGACGGGAGACCGAATTTGTTGTTGGAACACTGGTGCTTCTGTGGCTTGTTCCTTTTGTCCGTAACCAGTGGAAACACGGAACCATCTCTTTTTGAAATGTCCATACTCGGCTAATATTTGGCGAAGCCTCACGCAGAAGCTCCTTGATTCAAGGTATACGGCTCAATGCATGGAATACAAAACACTATGGACCGAAATCAGCAATAACACTATCAATCAAAATCAGCAAACACATAACCGACGGAGAGACAATAGCACTCAATGGAACCCACTTCCCGAAGGATGGGTAAAATATTAGAAAGTGATTAAGTTTTTGTCATTTAAAAACTAACCCAATTTTTTTTTTTTTTATATAAGTAAACTTTCTAAATACAAATTTACTAGAATCTTCTCGGCTAAATATAATCTCTTCAATCATAACTAATGTTTTAAATTATGCTAGGCGTTAACTAGACGACGGACTATGTCTGAAAGTATATACGGCTATCTATGCAGAGTATATATAATCATAATTTTTGTAGTAGACAATGATAAAAAAAAATTAGTGGAATGTTGAAAATTTACTATTATGAATTAACCCAAATAAATAGCAAAATGGCATGGATGATTTTTTTTTTTTCAAAGTTCAAAAGAAAACTATATCACTTATTAAACATAATGGTCAAACATTTGTATTTCTCATTTTTTTTTTGTGTAGAAATTTCACAAACGATGTAGTTTTAATATTACTTTTTACAAAAGAAGAATCAAAAAACATTTTTTATTTAGAAAACTTAAAAAATGTATAGCACATAAGCATAAGTCATTTAATCGTCTTATACAAATGTATTTTTTCTACCATTAAAAATACATGTATCATAAGTCACCCAACAACGCCTAAACGTCGGTTACACGTATATCCATATTGTATTTTAGAAAGGTAATAATATGTAACAAAATTCAAAAAAAAAAAAAATGACATGGTTAAATGCACATAAGTCATAATTTAACGTTGACCAACTATATTTACCTATTTTCACAATTTTTGTGAATCATTATTAGGTGTAGTAAAAATTGATTAATATAGTTTCCACCATAATTTTGAAAATAACAAGTTTTCATTATCATTAACATTTACAAGGAGGGGAAACAATCAATCAATCAAAGACTATCCAACATATTTCTACGAGTTTTGTACAATTTTTTTTGTTTTTTATTTGTTTCAATTAAACCATTAAAAACACCAAAACTAAATATAAATAAACTAAAAATTAGAGATTTATGATAGTGAATTCACCATATATGATTATAACAGTGAACATGGTTGGTTCTGTGAGTAAGTCGATCATACAAATATAATAATGGTCGAAATCAAGCATAAAATAGTAGCTATCGTCGCAATGTACAACATTTCTTTCTCTAATAAGATATTATCTATCTTAAACTAGCAATTATATATTCTGAGAGGAACCAACCATTGTGTGCTCCTAGTAAAGTGCGGCTAGTTAAATCTGCCACGACACCATAAATATCTATATAATCAAAATTCCCATTTTTCTTTTTTTTGGACTATCCCGAATCTAGCCGAACTAAACTTGAAAATCAATATAGTCTAAGCAGACTAAGTTCAAAAAATCCGATTTTTTCGAATTTATATATCTATACTTGATCCCAATATTTTTAAAGGTCATATCGGGCATGACTGTGATCCTAATTGACATTCACACTAATCATACTAATAATCTTATAAATTGTAGTAATATTTATCGTTCTCACTAGTCTAGTACCCTTTTCGTTTACCATACTCTTTTACATTTTTTCAGTATTTCGTACCGCTAAAAAGTTTTAATCCATTTGAATGATCTTATACATATCTTTTTTAAAAAATGTCTATTTGGGATGATTTAATTAATGAAATGTTTTATTTAAAAAAAAAAAAAAAAAACTAAACCCAGGCCAAACCGAATAAACCGACAACCCAAAAGCTTTAACCGGTTCAACTTCTCATCCGATAAACAATTGACAAAGACAAACGCGCCGAGTTTTCGAATTTTCCAAAACTTGTAAATTGCTATCACTAAGACTCAAATCCCTGAGAAGAAGAACAAAAGTTGTGTTTTTTTCTCTGCCCTCAAAAAAAAACGAAGAGTCTTTTTCACCTGAGACAGCAATTTCTAGGGTTTCCGATTCTTCTCGAAGCTTACGCACTGTGGAAAGTGGGTTTGAGAGATGGTCTTAAATTTTTCAGAGTTAGGACCTAATTGCTGTGAGAATCGAGACTTACCAGCTCCAAGCAGCAACAATGATCAGAACAAGACCGGTGAGTTTTGTTTAGACGATCTAAACTGCAAAAATGAAGTTTTTATGTTAGAGGAAACTCTGATTGGAAAGCAATTTAAGGGATTTGTATGATTCTGGGTATGGAAATGAGTGAAATTTAGCACCGTTGATGAAATTTTTGTCTTGTGTGTGTCTAATCTTAGTCCTACATGTTTAATCGCAGGTGATATTTCGAGGAAGAAGCATCAGCGTCTAAGTACAGAAGAAGGTGATTATGAGGAATACACCGGTGAGTTAGATTTTAAACTATCTTGTTGTAGTGTCCATTAGTACTTGGTTTCAAGAACAGTTTGAAATAAAAGTATTAGAGGGTTTAAAAGTTTGGTTTTTTTACTGATTCAGAACATGTGAGAAAGAAGAAAATGAAGAGGAGCAATACTGAAACAGAATCTGAGGCTTCTTCATCAGACCACTCTTGTTTTGTTGCCCTTGTCACAGCTTCGAATCTACACAACGATGCTCTGGTGCTTGTTTTTTTTTGCATATTGTGCTTTAATCAATGAACTAAAGTTGGGCACTTTGTTTCTAATGTTAACTTCAATGTGGCTTCTCAAAGTTACTATGAATCAAAGTAAAACACATTTTGATTCTGTTTAGTCTAGTTTGATTTCATTTGGATTGGTTTGTTTTGGCCTATTTGCCTGCTGTGTATATATCACGAGACTGAAGAAAGTGTTCTCTCACATTTGCTGAACAAAGTTTTGTGCTGAAAATGCCTGAACCCTTTTGTTGCAGTATCTTCCACAAGATTTAACAAGAGTAATTGGTCTTAAAAGAAACTGTCGTGAGATTGTTGTAACAGATGAAAGGGAAAGATCATGGGCATTGGATCTACGTTTCAACAAATCATTTAATACTTTCTACATAAGCCAAGGTTGGACAAGTTTCTGTGATGAAATCGGTAAAAAAGCAGGAAGCGTTTTTGTTTTTGAATTAGTTGGAAACTGGGAAACTCCGGTGCTCAGTTTCTGTTCCGCTGAAGCTATCAACGAGGGAATACACGGAGACAAGAACAACAAAGACAATTGTATGGAGCTGAAGAGCAAGAAGAAGCGTATGAGATGTAGAGATTCAACTTCACCAAGCCAAAACCGGTTTGTGACATTAACACTTACTCATGGCAACCTAAGATTTTTTAGACGGGTGAGTTCATCAATCAACCCTTGTTTTAGAGTGTTTCTTAGTTTTATCTCTTACCCTCATATTAAGTATGTTATCTGTTCAATTATATTTCAGCATCTTCCATTGTCATTTGCAAGAGATAATGGCTTGGACAAACCTGGGATGATAACTTTGATTGGCAAAGATGGTACAAAGTGGGAGGCAAATCTTCTACGGGAAAAAAGAGGAATGATGTGTATCAGAAAAGGCTGGAAAGATTTCGCTATCGCAAACGGCTTAAAAAGCGGCGAATCGTTCATGTTGGAAGCAATTTTGGAGAACGGAACTCCTATGTTCAGTTTGGTCAGTACACAGTCCACAAGTGATAGAAGCAAGCAAGGAGAGTGCTCAAAACATAGCGAGAAAGCGACAATCTCTGCAGAACATAGCAGTGGAAAAGAGACCAGGAAATCAATGAACAACAGAGACGTGAGGAGAGTGATATAAGATGACCGCATCAGAGAGACTCATTTCCAGCAAGCCAGAACCCATTCGTGACATTAAGACTTACATATGACAACCTCAGAAATAGTAGACGAGTGAGTTCATCAATCAACCCTTGTTTCAGACGGTACGTTAGTTTCTTCTCTTGCACTCATATTAAGTATGTTATTCGTTCATTTATGTTTTCCAGAATCTTCCATTGTCGTTCACAAGAGAAAATGGCTTGGACGAACTTAGGATTATAACTCTGGTTGGCAATGATGGTACAAAGATGGAGGCAAGTCTTCTACGGAGAAACACAGGAGGAATGTGTCTCGGAAAGGGCTGGAAAGAGTTTGCTATGTCCAACGGCTTGAAGAGTGGTGAATCGTTCACGTTGGAGGCAATTTTGGAGAACGGAACTCCTATGCTCGGTTTGTTCAGTACACAGTCCAGAAGTGATAGAAGCCAGCAAGGAGAGTACTCAAAACATAGCGAGAAAGAGTCGATTTTTGTTGAACATAGCAGTGGAAAAGAGACCAGGAAAGCCATAATCAACAGAGACGTGAGGAGAGACTCGTATCCAGCAAGCCGGAACCCATTCGTGACATTAAGACTTACATATGACAACCTCAGAAATAGTAGACGGGTGAGTTCATCAATCAACCCCTTGATTCAGAGGGTATGTTAGTTTCATCTCTTGCACTCATATTAAGTATGTTATCCGTTCATTTATGTTCCAGAATCTTCCATTGTCGTTCACAAGAGAAAATGGCTTGGACGAACCTGGGATAATAACTCTGGTTGGCAATGATGGTACAAAGTTGGAGGCAAATCTTCTACGGGAAAACACAGGAATAATGTGTCTCGGAAAGGGCTGGAAAGAGTTCGCTATGTCTAACGGCTTGAGGAGTGGCGAATTGTTCACGCTGGAGGCAATTTTGGAGAATGGAATTCCTATGCTCAGTTTGGTCAGTACACAGTCCACAAGATATAGAAGCCAGGAAGGAGAGTGCGCAAAAGATAGCGAGAAAGAGTCGATTTCTACAGTACCTAGCAAAGGAAACAAGAAGAGGAAAGCCACGAGCAAGAGAGAGGAGAAGAGAGACTCGTCTTCAGCAAGCCAAAATCGATTTGTGACATTCACACCTGAAGATATCAGAGACTGTATACTAGTAAGTTCATCAAACGACTCTTGTTTCAAAGATATGTTTACTCAAATATTTTACAGATTCTTCCAGGTCAATTCATGAATGCTAATGGCATCAACAAGCTAGGGATGATAACTTTGTTGGGTCAAAACAAAATGAAGTGGTTTGCATATCTAATGTCAAAAGATGGAATTTTGGCTTTGGGATCTGGTTGGAAGGGCTTCTGTGAGGCTAATGGCGTTAAGACAGGAGAGTCATCCACTTTGGAATACATTGATGAACAAGACACAACTCCTGTGCTTAAATTCTGTTCCAACTCCGTAGAGTAAAGACCAAAAAGTTTTAATTAAAACCCTTTTTTGTTTGTTAAGTTAAAAACAGTATGTATGTTATAATGGCTATATGATTATGAACTTGTGATTTTTTTTATTTTATTTTTTATTTTTATTTTTTATGAACTTGTGATTTTGTTATTCTATAAGCTCTGGGACGTGCACAAGTTCGTTTCAATGGAGGCAAATCTGTCAGAAGTTGAATGATCTGTTTTAAGGAACTAAACCAGGCCAAACCAAATAAACCGAAAACCCAAATTCTTTATACGGTTCAACTTCACATCCGGATATAAAAATATTTAATTTGCTCGATCAAATTCCCCAATCATCAATCAAATTGAACTGTTCATTACTAAGGATACGCGCCGAGTTTTCGAATTTTCTTAAAATTGCTAACACTAAAACTCAATTTCTGAGAAGAAGAACAAAAAGTTGTGTTTTTTTCTCTCTGCCCTCAAAAAAAGGAAAAGTCTTTTTCACCTAAGACAGCAATTTCTAGGGTTTCTGTTTTCTTGGGTTGCCGATTTGTTCTCGAAGATGACGCACTGTGGAAAGTGGGTTTGAGAGATGGTTTTAAATTCGTCAGATTTAGGACCTAGCCGCTGTGAGATTCGAGACTTACCAGCTCGAGGCAGCAACAATGATCAGGACAAGACCGGTGAGTTTGGTTCTGTTTTTGTCGATGACCAAACTGCAAAAATGAAGTTTTTATGTTAGTGGAGAGTGTGATTGGAAAGCAATTTAAGGGATTTCTCTGGTTAGGGTTTCGGAAATGAGTGAATTTTTCTTTTGTTGTATTGTCCAAGATTTCTTGGTTTTGTGAAGTTGTTTTGAGAACACTTTCGACTAAAAGTATCAGAAAAATTTGGTTTTTTTATTGATACAGAACTTGCAAGAAAAAAGATAGTGTTTTGTCTTGCTTGTGTATATCTATAGTCTATACAAATACCTGTCTTAGTCCTACATGTTTAAAAGTAGGTTACATTTCGAGGAAGAAGCATCAGCACCACCCAAGAACAGAAGAAGATGGTGGTGATGATCATGGTAACTTCAGTTCTGTTCTGTTTTTGATGTAGTGTCCAAGATTACTTGGTTTTGTGAGTTTGTAATCAGAGGTTTAACATATTTGTTCTTTTTTACTGATACAGAACTTGGGAGAAAGAAGAAAGTGAAAAGGAGCAATACAGAAACAGAAGCTGATGCTTCTTTGTCAGACAACTCTTGTTTTGTGGCCCTTGTCACGGCTTCGAATCTACACAAAGATGCTCTGGTGCTTAAACTTTTTATTGCATACTGTGGTTTAATCACTCACTATACCAAAATATATGCTAACAATTGTTGCAAATTGTGCTCTAATCTCTAACTCAATGAAATGCTGTTTCTAAAGTTGTGTACATGGTTTAGATCCTATTGTGGTTTAGTTTGGGAGAGAACTTGTTGAAATAAAATCAAAAGGTTAACTTCAATATGGTTCTGGTTCAGTTTGATCAAACATCTACTTAGGTAACTGTATGTATGTATTTTCTCAAATTTATATTTTAACTCTAGTTTGGTTTACATTGGTGTGTATACTGAAGTAGAAACAAAATTTCATTTCGGTTCTGTTTGGTCTGGTTTGATTTTGCTTATTTCATGTATAATCCTGAGACTAGAGAAAGTGTTTTCTCACGTTTGTTTAGTTTTGTGCTGAATATGCCTGAACCCTTTTGTTGCAGTATCTTCCACAAGATTTAACAGCTTTAATTGGTCTTGAAAGGAAATGCCGTGAGATTGTTGTAACAGATGAAAGGGAAAGATCATGGGCATTGGAGCTGAAGTTCAACAAATCATCTGATACTTTCTACATAAGCCGAGGTTGGAGAAGTTTCTGTGATGAAAACGATAAGAAAGCTGGCGGCGTCTTTGTTTTCAGATTAGTTGGAAACAGGGAAACTCCAGTGCTCAGTTTCTGTTCCACTGAATCTATCAAGAACAACAAAGAAAACTGTATGGAGCTGGAGAGAAAGAAGAAGCATCTGAAATGTATAGATTCAACTTCACCAAGCCAAAACCGGTTTGTAACATTATCACTTTCACATGACAACCTCAGAACAGGTACACGGGTGAGTTCATCAACAAATCTTGTTTTAGAGGGTACATTAGTTTAATGTCTTGCACTCTTCTTATTAAGCATGTTATCTTTTCAATTATGTTTCAGCATCTTCCACTGTCATTTGCAAGAGATAATGGCTTGGACAAACCTGGGATAATAACTCTGGTTGACAAAGATGGTACAAAAAGGAAGGCAAATCTTCGACGGGAAAAAACAGGAAAGATGTTTCTCGGAAAGGGATGGAAAGATTTCGTTATAGCAAACGGCTTAAAGAGCAGCAAATCTTTCACATTGGAGGCAGTTTTGGAGAACGGAACTCATATGCTCAGTTTGGTCAGTATACAGTCCACAAGTGATAGAAGCCAGCAAGGAGAGTGCTCAAAAGATAGCAAGAAAGAGTTAATTTCTGCAGTACCTAGCAGAGGAAACAAAACCAGGAAAGCCATGAACAACAGAGACGTGAGGAGAGATTCATTTCCAGCAAGCCAAAACCAGTTTGTGACATTATCACTTTCACATGACAGCCTCAGAAAAGGTAGACAGGTGAGTTCATCAATCAACCCTTATTTCACAGGATACTTTAGTTTCATCTCTTGCACTCCTATTAAGTATGTTATCCGTTCATTTATGTTCCAGTATCTTCCATTGTCATTCACAAGAGAAAATGGCTTGGACGAACCTGGGATAATAACTCTGGTTAGCAAAGATGGTACAAAGTTGGAGGCAAGTCTTCTACGGGAAAACAAAGGAATAATGTGTCTCGGAAAGGGCTGGAAAGAGTTCGCCATAGAAAACGGCTTAAAAACCGGCGAATTGTTCACGTTGGAGGCAATTTTGGAGAAGGGAACTCCTATGCTCAGTTTGCTCAGTACAGAGTCCACAAGTGATAGAAGCCAGCAAGGAGAGTGTTCTAAAGATAGCGAGAAAGAGTCGATTTCTGCAGAACCTAGCAAAGAAAACAAGAAGAAGAAAGCCACTAGCAACAGAGAGGAGAGGAGAGACTCTTCTTCAGCAATCCAAAATCGATATGTGACATTAACACTCACACCAGAAGATGTCAGCGCCTGTAAACTAGTAAGTTCCATCATACCACTCTTGTTTCAAAGAGGGGTCAGTTTCTGTCTTGATTCTAATTTGTTACGAAGTGTGTTTATTCAAATCTTTTGCAGATTCTTCCAAGTCAATTCATGAAAGCTAATGGCATTAACAAGCTCGGGAAGATAACTTTGGTGGGTCAAAACAGAACGAAGTGGTTTGCATATCTACTGTCAAAAAATGGAATTGTGGCTCTGGGATCTGGTTGGAAGGGTTTCTGTGAAGCTAATGGCGTTAAGACAGGGGAGTCATTCACTTTGGAATATATTGATGAACAAGACACAACTCCTGTGTTTAAGTTCTGGTCCAACTCCGTAGAGTAACAAAAAAAAAGTTTTTAACTATAAGCATGTAAAGTTCACAAGCCTTCCTTTAAAAGTAAAGGCCTTTTTGTTTGTTAAGTTTAAATATGATTATGAGCTTGTGATTTTGTTATTCTATAAACTATCTATAATGAGTTTCTCCTAGAATGACACCTAATTATGAACTGAAATAAAGTTAACAGAGTTGATTGAAAAATTGAAAATCTAAATAAGCATACAATGCAAAAGATTCTTAACAAAAAAATCCAAAACAAAGACACCACACATTAAAAAAAAAAACTAAAAATTTCATCAACAATTGAAAAAAAAATCCTAGAAACTACCTTTAAAATAAAAAACACCCAAGCTTACTTGTCAGGCAAGTCATCAATAGTTTTATCATTGATCACTAACGGAGAGAGGAACGAGATCGAAATAGAGTTTATCATTGGAGTGGAAAGACCAGAGGCGATTATTTCTATTTTTCTTTAGACGGCAATCTTCAACCACTTGATTCCACCCTGTAACCAAATTGTATTGAAGACTGCCTCTCATGTCCCACAACCTCAAATTCACCTGAAATTCTCTTAGATCAGAAGTCACGAGTATCGCGTCTACTCCTTCTTTGTTAACCTTATTGGCATCTTCTTCTATGGCCCTTTTTTCCTCGTGGTTCAAGAATTCCAATTCCACAATGTTGCTGAGAGGTATTGAGAGACGATTGTTGTTTGGATGGACATCGGTTGCGGTTAATTCTTTATCTATGATCTTCTTCGAATTGTCTTCGTGCTCTCTACCGTTCTTTCTTCTCATCAACCTGATAAGCCACCCTAGCGTCGGTTCTCTTGTCTTGGAAGAAGAAGCTTCCGAACTGCGTTTTGCCTTCTTAGATTTTGGTTGTTTCATGGGAGGAGACATAGGAGGGACATCACGTCTGTTTCTAGTGCGTTTGGATGGAGATTCTCTTAATGCGCGGTCGTGAATATGGGCTCTCCATGACGGTAGAAGAAGGAGTAGTAATCGTCGAGCTTTTGTTTCTTCGAAGTATTAAGTCTGTTATACTCCTCCGACGTTGGCTTTGAGCTACTCATAATCACTAATGTGCCTGCACACTCGACATCGTCTTTAGACACCTCTCTTTGAACATCATTGTTCTATATTTCTTTTTTTTCTTTTTTTTTTGTTCTAATAGAAAAACTGAAAAAGATAGATTATGTGTATATATACGGAGATAGAGAGATTACTCGTCGTCTTTCTTCTATTAGGATTTAGTGTATGGAGTTGTTTTCAAAGTTATCTTGTTCTTTTAATTTGTAACTAGAGTGTTTTCTTGATTGATTAGGATTTGGGAGCCATAATTTAGTTAGTTGTAATAGAGAAAACATATTTACTAATAATTTTGTATTTTAAAAAAGTTCTGAAATATATTTTGGAAATTATTATGTGAAAGTTACTCTTTTTTTGCTTTCTGTAATATATTGTTGCTCTTAGTCCTGCGAGTTCGGTTAACCAAAACCGAACCGAACTAGTTATCAGGAATACTATTGAAAGTGGCCGAATAGATAATCAGGTCGGTTTTCGGTTAATGAGTTTCTACCAAATTGAACGAATTTTTTTGGGTTTTCTTGGTTAAAATCGGAAAAACCGGTTAAATGGGGTAAAGTCTGTTTGGATTTATATGTATTTTGGTTTAATTTTGGTATATCATTGTTTATGAACCGACCTTAAACCAAATATGATTCAAAAACATGCTGAATTGAACCGATTGCTAAACCAATCTTCAAACCAAAACCAAAAAACCGGTTCGGTTCGGACCAATCGATCGGTTTGAACAAAAACCGCAGGCCTAGTTGCTACCTTCTGTTGTCTCCACAAGTATAGCCCCAAATCAAGCCCATCTGTTATTTACTCAGGCCCATTCTATCTTCTGAGAGATGGGGGGAAGCTTCTACGATTTGGCCGGGAAACGACAACGGAGCGAGACAGAAATTATCGGAGATTCCAATTCTTCCACACAACAATCATAAAGCGTCTCTGTGTTAGTTTCGACAAACATGCATTTATTTACCAATTTGTGCTCAAAAACAGAAAACAGAAAAAAAATTGTTACTTAAAAAGGAAAATTTCTAGGGTTTGTTTGTTTGTTTCTTTCTTCTCTTGAAGTGAGCTTCTTGAACAATGGCGACATTTTATCCGCAATTCTTCCACACACTTGTTCCTAGCTTCCTCACGCACTTCGTAACTATCTCTTCTTCTTCTCTTTTTGTTTTTTATTCAGAGATTTTCTTTTGTTTCATCTTTGTTTTTGTGTTGTTGTTGATGTAGATGATTCCTGAAGACTTCTTCTTAAAGTATATTGAAGGAACAAGTTTCGCGGAGCTGAAATCGGACGTTTCGGACAGAACCTGGAAAGTGAAGATGTCTGATCGGAGAATCACTGACGGCTGGGAAGATTTTGTGGTGGCTAATGATTTTCGTATCGGCGATGTTGTCGTTTTTAGATATGTTGGAGATTTGGTGTTCCATGTTTCTAATTTAGGACCTAATTACTCTGAGATTCAAGACAATGAGGGTAAGTAAGTAAGTCTTGTTCTGAATTCTGATTCTGTGTTTGGAGATCAATGTTTCAAAGAAGTGTTAATTTGCTAAATTAGGTAAACATTTGTTGAGAAAGCGTTTGCATCAAGTAGACTTTTCATCAAACAATGGAGATGTTTGTGATAATGAAGGTAAGTGTCACTTCTCTCGAATGCTGAGTCCAAGTAACAGTATCTGAGTTTTTACATATGTGATGTTTTTGATACAGAGGTTCCCAGAGAGAAGAAAGCGAAGACGAACAGTGGAGAAGCAGAAGCAGTTTCTTCTTCTTCATCAGCAGACAACTCTTGTTTTGTGGCCCTTATCACAGCTTTGAATCTAACGATAGATACACTGGTATTTACTTTACTCCTGCATTGACTTCAATATCATACTAATTGATTTTGCATATTGTAGTCTACTTTGGTTTGGAAGAAAAACTGTTGAAGCAAAATCAAAAGTTAACTTCAGTTTTGAAATTCTGAAATTGCCTGTGATATAGAAAGCGGTCCCTAAGTAAATTAATCTGAGTCTTGTGTTAATCTGGTGCCTGCAGTATCTTCCACTACATTTCACAAGCTCAAATGGTCTTACAAGAAAAAACAGCGAGATTGTTTTAACAGATGGAGGGGAAAGATCATGGGTATTGGATCTGAGGTTCGATGAATCGTCTCATACTTTTTATATAAGCCGAGGTTGGAGAAATTTCTGTGATGAAAACGGACAAAAAGCAGGAGATTTCTTTATGTTTAAACTAGTGGGAAACGGGGAAAAGCTTGTGCTCAGTTTCCGTCCTACAGAATCTATCAATGATGGAAGGCAAATATACTGTTCAGAAGCTAGCAGGAAAGAATCTGTTGCCACAAAACTTAACAGTGAGGAAGAGAACATTGCAAGGGAGGACAGTAAAGACGAATGCAGCTCGTTGGACTCATTGATGGATATAGAAAAAAAGAAGTATAGTGCAAAACGAAGAGGTTCACCATATTCATCATATTCGCCAAGTCATAAACAATTCGTAACATTTACACTTCCACCGGATTATGCTAGAATTGGAAGATTGGTAAGTTTATCAAAAACAAATCGTGATTCTGTGCTTATTAGTTTTGACGCATATTTAATCGGCTTCTGTTCAAATATCTACAGAGTCTTTCAGCGCCGTTCGTTAGGGAGAATGGCATCAACAAGCCTGGGGAGATATGTCTTTTGGATAAACATGGTAGAAAGTGGTTGACAAATCTTCTACTGGACAGTAAAGGGACAATGTCTTTGGGAAAGGGTTGGAAAGATTTTGTTAAAGCAAACAGCTTAGAGACAGGCTTCACCCTCAAGTTGAAATGGGAGGAAACAACTCCTGTACTTAGTTTGTGCTATGCAGAATCTAACAGTGACAGAGAGCAAGAAGAATTTTCAAAAGCTATCGAGAAACGGTCTCTTTTCATGGATACTAAAGTAGACTTTTCATCAAACAATGGTGATGTTGATCATGATGATGAGGATGACATAGGTAACTTTCAATTCTCTTGTATTCAATTGTATTATTATAAAAGTATCCACGGTTTTAACCTGTGGGATGTTTCTCTGATACAGAGCATCCAAGAGAGAAGAAAGCAAAGATGAACAGTTTAGAAGAAGAAGCAGGTTCTTCTTTATCAGACAAATCATGTTTTGTGGCTCTTGTCACTGCTTCGAATCTACGCACAGATACACTGGTACTTTATTCTTGCATTGACCAAAACCTCATACTAATATTACTAAATGAATGGTTGTTTATAGGGTTGAGCATTTTAGTGTAGTCTAGTTTGGTTTGGCAGAAAAATTGTTGAAGCAAAATCAAAAGTTACCTTCAATTTTGTTTTGGTTCAGTTTGATAAAATATCTTACGTAACTGTATGTATTTTAGCTTCAAGTTGGATTTGGTTCATTGTTGTTTACTTTCGTAGGAGAAACCTTGCCGGAATTCAGGTTCGATATTCTCTAATTGCCTACTACCCCTACTTTCATGCATATAGAATCATGTAACTAACGAAAGTGTATGTTCACGTTTGCTATATTATTGTTAAGTTGGTTAGTCATGAAACTAAACAAAGAGTCATGAGGAAATGCTGAAAGTGCCTTAACCTTTTTTTGTCCAAGCGATATACAAAGTGTCCCCTAAGTAAACTAATCTGAGTCTTGTGTTAATCTGGTGCTTGCAGTATCTTCCACCACATTTTACAAGCTCAAATGGTCTTACAAGAAAATGCCACAAGATTGTTTTAAGAGATGGAGGGGAAAGATCTTGGGAATTGGATCTAAAGTTCAACGAATCATCTGATACTTTTTATATAAGCCAAGGTTGGAGAAATTTCTGTGATGAAAACGGACAAAAAGCAGGAGGTTTCTTTATGTTTAAACTAGTGGGAAACGGGGAAACGCTGGTGCTCAGTTTCCGTCCTACAAAATCGATCAATGATGGAAGGCAAAGATACTGTTCAGAAGCTAGCAGGAGAGAATCTGTTGCCACAAAACTTAGCAGTGAGGAAGAGAACATAACATGGGAGGGCAGTAAAGACGAGTGCAGCACATTAGAGTCATTGATGGAGAAAGAAAAAAAGAAGTATAGTCTGAAACCAAGAGGTTCACCTCATTCATCATATTCGCCATGTCATAAGCGATTTGTAACATTTACACTTCCACCGGATTATGCTAGGATTGGAAGATTGGTAAGTTTATCAGAAACAACTCTTGATTCTATTAGTTTTGACGCATGTTTATTCGGCTTCTGTTCAAATATCTACAGAGTCTTCCGGCACCGTTCGTTAGGGAGAATGGCATTAACAAGCCTGGTGAGATATTTCTTTTGGATAAATATGGTAGAAGGTGGTTGACAAATCTTCTACTGGACAGTAAAGGAACAATGTTTTTGGGAAAGGGTTGGAAAGATTTTGTTAAAGCTAACAGCTTAGAGACGGTCTTCATGCTCAAGTTGATATGGGAAGAAACAACTCCTGTGCTTAGTTTGTGCTGTGTAGCATCGAACAGTGACACAGAGCAAGAAGATTTTTCAAAAGCTATCGAGAAACAATCTCATTTCATAGATACTAGCAACAGAGACAAGATTAACAACAATGAGAATAACAAAGATGAGAGCAGGTCATGGGAGAGAAAGAAAAATCATCCGAAATGGAGAGATTCAACTCCATCAACCCAAAAACAATATGTGACACTGACAATTACACCTTTCAGTGTCAAAAAGAATATATTGGTAAGTTTATCAAATGACTCTTGTTTCAGGGGTGCTTAGTTTATTGTATTTCAATTGGTTTTGACTAAGTTTTTTGCTTAACACTGAAATCTTCGACAGCGTCTTTCAAAAATATTCACGAGGGAGAATGACATCAACAAGCCTGGGAAGATTACTCTGTTGGGAAAAGACGGTATAAAGCAGCAGACGAATTTGTTATTTGACAAAACAAATGGATCCATGTCTTTGGGAAGCGGCTGGAAAGATTTTGTTAAAGACAATGGCTTAAAGACAGGTGACTCCTTCACGCTAAAGTTGATTTGGGAAGACCAAACTCCTGTGCTCAGCTTGTGTCCTGCAGAATGTAGCATTGACAGAGAAGCAGGAGGAACAAACCAGAAAAAGTCTCTTCCCATAGAACCTAGCATCTGTACAAAAGTCAGCAAAGACGTGAACATCAAAGAGAAAAACAACAAAGAGGAGAGCAGATCAGTGGATAGAGAAAGAAATCATCTGAGAGAGACAGATGTAACTCCATCAAGCCAAAAACACGTTGTGACATTAACAATTACACCTTCCTCTGTCAAAAGAGATAGACTTGTAAGTTTATCAAACAACTTACGGGTTTTATCACAACAAGAGGTTATTAATTTTATTCTCGTTTCATATTTTTTTTTCCAGATTCTTTCAGCACAATTTGCAAGGGAGAACAATATTAACAAGCCTGGAACGATATATCTGTTGGATAGAGATGGTACAAAGTCGCTGATAAACCTTCAACAAGATAAGAGAGGAACAATGAGTTTGGGAAAAGGTTGGAAAGAATTTGCTGAAGCAAATGACATTAAGTTAGGTGAATCCTTTATGATGAAGTTAGTATGGGAAGGCACAATTCCTATGCTCAGTTTGTTACGTACTGAGTTTAGCAGTTCAAAAGCTAACAAGAAAGAGTCAATTTCTTCAGAACCTAAAAGCAGAGATTCATCCCCAATAATCAAAAACCGATTCGTGACACCAGCACTCACACCTGAAGATGTTAAATCCTGTAAACTGGTAACTTCATCAAACTACTCTTGCTTTTAAGAGGTGAGATAGTTTTTGTCTTGAAATTATAACTGAATGAGAGATGTGTTGGTTTAAATCTTTTGCAGATTCCTCCTACTCAATTCATGAAGGAAAACAACAAAGAGGAGAGCATGTCAGTGGTTAGAAAGAGGAATCGTCTGAGAGGGAAAGATTTAACTCCATCGAGCCAAAAACAATTTGTAACATTTACAATTACACCTTCATGTGTCGGAAAAAATAGGCTGGTAAGTTTATAAAACAACTCTTGATTCAGAGGACTCTTTTCCTCTTACTATTTCTATCACATAACAAGAGTGTATCAATTTGTTTTCCAGATCCTTACAGCGCAATTTGCAAGGGAGAACAATATTAACAAGCCTGGAACTTTATATCTGTTGGATAGAGATGGTACAAAGTGGCTGACAACGGTTAAACGTGACAACAAGGGAACAATGAGTTTGGGAAATGGTTGGAAAGAGTTCGCTGAAACAAATGACTTAAAGCTAGGCGATTCCTTTAGGATGGAGTTGATATGGGAAGACACAACTCCAATACTCAGTTTGTTACGTACAAAGTTTAGCAGTTCAAAATCTAACAAGGAAGAGTCCATTTCCTCAGAACCTAAAAGTAGAGATTCATCCCAAACAATCGAAAACCGATTCGTGACATTAGCACTTACACCTGAAGATGTCAAAGCCTGTAAACTGGTAACTTCATCAAACTATGCTTGTTTCCGATTTGAGTTAGTTTTTGTCTTGAATTATATTAGTAATGAGAGATGTGTTTGTTGAAATCTTTTGCAGATTCTTCCAAGTCAATTCATGAAGGCTAATGGCATCAGTAACAAACTTGGGAAGATAACGCTTTTGGGTGAAAACAAAGTCGAATGGCCGGGATATCTGTTGTCGAGAGATGGAACTGTCGCTTTGGGAAATGGTTGGGAAGGCTTTTGTGAGGCTAATGGCGTGAAGTTAGGACATTCTTTTACTTTGGAGTTTGTTAATGAACAAGATACAACACCGGTACTTAAGTTCTCTTCTCCGGAGACTATATACAAACATGTTAATTAGGAATAGATGACATGTAAAAATTAGGCCTAGGCGTATAAGTATAGTTGGCTTATGTAAAAAAGAATAGAATTGTGAGAAACGTTTAGATTTGTCCATTAGTTCCTTAAATTCTTAGGCTATATATATCATCTGTTGTTGTTTCCATGAAATGTGTCCGAATTTGGTTTTTGGTTCCAATTTGACACCAATATTTTATCTTGAACCAAACCGAAATTATCCTATTAAAACTAAACCGAGCAGAACTTTACTTTCGGTCTAATTTAGTAAAAAAAAAAATTCCGAACCAAAACATAGAAATTCTGAAACTCCTGAACCGAACCAGACCGTTTAATTAATGACTTTCACCTAAAAATAGTCATCTTCTTGAGTATCAATGGTTTTAAAGGCTCTCCGAGTTCCAAGAACACCAATATACTCCAAGAAACTCTAAAGTAGACTCTGTGAGATTTAGGACTTCTCAAGATTTTGAGAATGGCGAATCAACATTTCTTCAAGCCTCTTCTTCCTGGCTTTCACAGCCACTTGGTACTCTCTCTCTCTCTCTCTCTCTCTCTCTCTCTCTCTCTCTCTCTCTCTTTCCCTTCTTCTTTCTCTGTCACTGTCCCTCTGAGAAGCTAATTGAGAAAAATTGGTCTGGTTTTGTGTTTGTTTGTTGCCTTGCTTCAGACAATTCCTGTAGTCTTCTTCTTGAAGCATATAGAAGGAAGAGATGACCAGAAGATGGCAGAGCTAAGATCAGATGCGTCGAAGATAACTTGGAAAGTGAAGATAGATGGACAGAGACTCACTGACGGTTGGAAAGAGTTTGCTTTAGCACATGATCTTCGAATCGGTGACATTGTCATTTTCAGACAAGAGAGTGACTTGTCTTTCCATGTGACACTATTAGGACCTAGTTGTTGTGAGATTCAATATGGTTCGTGTTTAGACGAAGAGACCAATCTCGGTGAGTTGTGTTCTGTCTCTCTCTCTCTCGCTAACTCTGTCTCTGTGATTGATATTCAAGAAATGTGTTCATATAAGTAGATTCACTTCATTTCAGAGAAGAAGAAGAATCCAAATGGAGAAGCAGAGACTTCTTCACTAGGTCGCTCTTGTTTTGTGGCTAAAGTCGCGCCTTCGAGTCTAAGTTATGACTCAATGGTATTCTACTCTTAAATTTGAACCCTAAAAGAAACTATCATTATAGGGTCTGAATTTCATGTTGTTATTGTAATGAATTTTTCAGCATCTTCCAAGGCCTTTTGTGAGAGAAAATGGTGTAGTCACTGGATCTGGAGAGATTGTTCTGATGAATGAAAAGGGCAGATCATGGAAGTTAAAATTGAGACAAAAGCCATCATGCGGAACGGTTTATGTTAAAGGAGGGTGGGTGAGTTTTTGTGATGCCAATGGACTTAGAGCTGGAGATATCTACACTTTCAAACTGATCCAAAGAGGAGGAACTCTTGTTCTACGTTTGTTACCCAATGAGTCAGAAGAAGAAGCTCATGATGCGTCTCTTTCCGCAGAACCGGAAAGCGATGCAGGAAGCAATCTTGGTGAGCTATGTTCTTTCTTTCTCTTACTTTGCCCATGAAACTTGACATTCAAGAAATGTGCTCATATGGATTTATTTTTTTCTTTTTCAGAGATGATTCAAAGGAAGGAGACAGTGAAGAAGAATGTAACAAGAGAGGCAGAGTCTTCTTCACTAGATCCCTCTTGTTTTGTGGCTAATGTCGCGCCTTCGTCTCTACGCTATGACACACTGGTATTTTACTCTTCATTTGAACCCCAAAAGAAGCTATCATTCTAGTGTCTGAAATAGATTAAACTTATGTTGTATTATTGTTCCAGTATCTTCCAAGGCGTTTTATGAGGGAAAATGGTCTAGACAAAAGATGTGGAAAGATGATTTTGATGAACGAAAAGGGCAAATCATGGACTTTAGATTTGAAACAAAAGAAATCATGCGGAACTTCTTTAATCAAACGAGGATGGAGTAGTTTCTGTCGTGCCAATGGACTTAGAGCTGGAAGTATCATAACTTTCAAACTGATAAAAAAAGGAGGAAATCTTGTTCTACGTTTGCTCACCAACGAGCCAAAAGAAGAAGATGAGTGCTCAGAAGCTAATGAAGTAGAGTCTCTTTCGACAGATCAAGAAAGCAATGAAGAGAGCCACGACGAGAAAATCTCAAGAAGAAAGGAAAAGAAGGGTAACTTGATGTGGAAAGCTTCATCTTCACCATCCGAAAACCGATTTGTGACATTAACTCTTACACCTTACAACATCCTACGTTCTGTACTGGTTAGTTTCATCACTCCAGGCCATTTTCTTTTTAACAGTTTATCAAATGTGAATCTTTTGTGTGAATCTTTGTTTCAGCGTCTTCCGATTCCTTTCACGAGGATGAATGGCATCAACGAAGACACTAAAATGACTCTGTTGGATAAACATGGTACGAAGTGGTTAACCACTCTGCGGTTGGTGGACTACAAAAGTAAAAGATTAAGAATGGCAGGAGGCTGGCAAGGATTCATCCAAGCTAACTGTGTGAAGGCAAACGAATCCATCATGTTAGAGCTGATTTGGGAAGAAGACACAAGTTGTATCCTGAAATTCTGCTCCAAGGTGAAGCTATGAACCAAATGAAACCGTATATGAGTTTAATATTGAAATGAATCAATGTTTGACTCTTTTCTTTGGTAAGATTTAACTAATGGTTGGCTTAACTCTTGAGGTCCATCCAATTATAGTATGTTTTTCTAAGTATGTTGTATGATCCGACTGAGATCATTGGCCTTATGGTGTGGAAGTTGTGAATGTTAGTTTGGCTTTAGAAAGGTTACATTACATTACTATTGTAGAATGTTTTTGTTTTTCCTCTTAGAGACATCTCCTTTCTCCTCTTGATCCCTCTTTGATCTTCATTACTCAAGTTGCCTTCTTTTAGCTTCCTTTAAATATGATCATCCTACAAAATTTGTCATGTGGATTAAGTTTGCTTTGCTTCGGTAAAAATAATTTTCCTTAGTATAAAATGTTGAGAACTTATACATTTTCACCTGATTAAATTTTTAAGAAAATTTATTATTTTAATCAATTGTCGACAAGACGACAACCTAAGCATATTTGGTCAAAATTTAACAAATTTACATATTTTTTATTCGATTATTTATATATTTTATTATAGAAAGCTTGGTTTTCAAAATTATTAACCCATATGATTTTGACACGCTTTAAAATCTATAGATCAGATTTTGACATGTGTAAAAAACAAATTATATAAATAAAAACAAAATTAGACACTAAATTACAAATTCAATAATAAAAGGATTACAATTAATATTCACTTACCAAAAAAGGATTATAACTAATATTTTTTTTAATGAATATAAAATAAAATAATAAATTAAAATACTAATCGACAAAAAAATTTACATTCACTATTCTTTGGAATATATATTAAAAAGAAAATTTAAATCATAAGTAAAAAAATTTGTTTCTATAGTGCCTACAAAAAAAAAATTGTTTCTATAGTAAAAAGAAAATTAAATTGTTAATATTTTTTTCTTAAAAGAAGTCAAAGTTTCTTTTTTTTATCAAAAATGTTTTGGTTAGTATAGTGAACTATGAACCTAATTCTACTGAAAAATAATATAACTAGAATATAAAATCTTATTATATTGTTTGATTTTTAAGAGTTAGTAATTTTAATATGATCGTGATATGTGTCAACTAATTAAAGTATATAATTAAAAGGATATCCTTGAATTAAAAAAAGAAAAAATCATTCTAATTTATTGTCAATTATAATTGTAGTATTTTTATTTCTCTTTTCATCGTTGAATTATTAAAGATTTATGTATCATTACATTAATAATTTTATTTTTAGATTTATTTTAATTTATACTTTTAGTTTTAAATTATATATGTTTTCTTATATAAGCTTTATTTTAAATTATGTCAAGTTAATTTTCGTTTAATTTCTCAACTTTATTTGTTGGTCATAGACTCATTGCAATCGAATAAAGTTTTTCTTTAAACTTTTCTTATAAATACCTTATCAATTATTGCTAGTTATTTATTTTAATTCAATATATTTTTTGAGTCAACCATTTTTGTGGTTAAAAAACTATTAAAAAGTGAAAGTAAATAAACATATAGTTGGCTTAAAAATTTCTTGAAAGTTACATTAATAACCAACTATTCCAATTTTGTTCTCTAATTTAGAAATTAATTTTGGAAATAGAGCATTCCCTAACCCATCTAATCAGAGAATCAAGGTGGAATGCGTGCTGGTATGAAATATCAGTCAACGGTTCACCGTCCGAGTTGAATTCAAGGAGACATATTCTGCATTCTGTGTTGAACTGAAACTGAAATTCTTGGAGAGAAATGGAAACCAATTTATCTTCTTCTTGGCTGAAGTAATCTGAATAAGCGTTGACGACAATGTTGTCGTCATCCTCATCATCATCACCATCAAAAATACAAAGATCCAAATCAAATCGGTTTTAGGTGAAATATATGAGAATTTTAATAAAAAATTTCCTAATTCATTAAAATTCACCAATAACATTTCAAACCTCATTAAATAATTATACATTCTCCTCTATCCTCCCTTACATCTCTCTTTTGTACTAAATTACTTTTTGTTCTACATAAAATATTTAGAAATAACACAATACTTCTAGAACATAATAATAACTATTATACGCATAATATCATAATGGTGTTCAAAAATAAAAAGCATAATATCGGAAAAATGAGTAGAAAAACCCTCGCCTTTCTTAAAAACATATAAAAAACCCTCAACTTTTTTGTGGGTTTTTAAACCCTCACATTTTCATAAATGGTAAAATAAACCCCAGTATTAATAAACTTAATTTAAATTCAAAAAAATCGTTATATTAAAACATAAATAAATATAAACAATTTGATTTAAGGTTTTTCTTCTAAGATTTTAGTTTACAATTTTTAAGTCATGATGTAAAAAAGTTAATTAGTGAAGTTTTATTCGGTTGTGTTACAAAAATTTATCAACGTGAAACCAAACAGATTTTGTTGCGAATTATACGTAAATTCTTATATCGAACCGGATATGAGTATATATTAATAAAGGTTTATTCGGTTCGATCACACAAATTTACTAACGTGAAACCAAACCAAATTTTATAATACTACGAAAAGTACATGAATTTTCACATCAAAATATTTTCATTGGACAAACTAAATAAGATTTACTAACAGTTAATATTTCAACATACTAGGTTATAACCCCCGCTACGCGGGGGTTTACTTTTATTGATTGTTTAAATATATTTTTGGGCTTAGTAATCAGTTAATTACAACAATGTTTCATTTTTAAAACTCTTTATAGCATAAATGTTGCTTTATTTATATTTTTAGTATCATTATGTTGGTTAAAAAAAAATTTTAATAAAAGAAAAGCTTATAGGATCAAAGTTGGTATAAAACATATTACAAATATGATGTGTCATATTTTACTCAAGTATATAAAAAAACTTCAAAATTTTCGTGATAAAAATTATCTAATATCCGGACATCAAACTTGAAACATGAAAAATTACCAATCTACATTTAAATAAAAATAAACAAATGAATAAACTTACACATGTTACATATATATATATATATATATATATATATATATATATATATATATATATTGTATACCTTTTTTCACATACCTCTTGATTGATTATTCTATTCAAAATTTTTATTTATTTATCCCAACTATATATTTTCTATTTTTCTTGCTTCAATTTATTGTCATACTTTCAATTTTATAAATAATATATTTTAAATAAAAAACCGAATCAAGCCAAACCAAATTAATCCAATCCGAATTAAAATGAACCAAAATGAGTTTGATTAGAGACTTGATGTTTTATTAAAATCGAAATAACCGAATCAAATTTAACTCGACATCAAACTAAAATGCCGACCCTTAATTGTGATTAAGAAGGGATATTGGCAAATTTGGTGAGACTAAAAATGATATTATTTTATATATTCTAATAACAAAATTTTACATTTATCTTTTTTGCATATATTTTTTAAGCTTATATTTTTCTCGTTTCCATAGATAGTTTTTTTTTTTTTTTTTTTTTTTTACTTTTTTAGAAGTATCTTAATTTTCTATTGATATTATTTTATATATTCTAATAACAAACTTTTACATTTTTTGTTTGCCCATATGTTTTTTGTTAAGTTTAAATATTTCTTGTTTCATATATATATATATATATATATATATATATATATATATATATATATCTATATATATATATTGTTTTTTACTTTTTATAAGTATCTTAATATAGAAAATTATTAGAATCTAAAATTGCTAATTACCGAGATGGCTAATCGTGATTAGTCTTTTAAAATTTTGTGGACAGTTTGAGAAGCTTATAACTTCGACTTTTATGTATTACCTTATGTAATTTTATAATTTTTAATTAGAAATTTTCAAATAAAAATATATTCACTGCATAATAATATTGAAATATATACTTTACATTTTTCTTATTTCTATATTTTGTTATTTCAAAAATGCATTTTTTTCTTTCTATATATTGTTTTTCTTTTCCTTTTTATTAATTTAAGTATAGAAAATATTAGAATTTAAAAATGTTAATTAACGTGTTGTGTAAAAATGTTAACCGATGAAGTGTCTAACTGCGATTGGTCGTTTAAAATCATAGATGGACGGCCTAAAGAGCTTATGGCCTCGACATTTATATAGTATAGAATAGAGAAATAAATCAAAAAGTATGTAGCACGAAAAAAAAATCAAAGCCGCATAATAGTAAATTCTTCTGAAACTGAATACTAATTGTGTTGTCAAGGTTCAATATTTATAGTTTAATGTCTAGGGTGAACCGTCATAGTTACCTTATGTAATTTTATATTTTTTAATTAGAAATTTTTCAAATAAAAATATATTCGCTGCATAATAATATTGAAATATATACTTTACATTTTTCTTATTTCTATATTTTGTTATTTAAAAAATTCACATTTTTCTTCTTTCTGTATATTGTTTTTATTTTCCTTTTTATTAATTTAAGTATAGAAAATATTAGAATTTAAAAATGTTAACTAACGTGCTGTGTAAAAATGTTAACCGATGAAGTGTCTAACCGCGATTGGTCGTTTAAAATCCTATGTGGACGCCTTTAGGAGCTTATGGCCTCGACTTTTATATAGTATAGACTAGGTTTTGAACCCACGCTACGCGTGGGTTTGTTCTATATATTTTGGTGAAATATAATAAATAATGATATCCACGCTACACATGGATTTGTTCTAATATTTTGGTGAAATATATCGATTAATGATAGTTGTCAAAATTTTATTTTTATATATTGATGTTGTTAATAATTTACATCCAATATATAAAAGAACTTACAGATTTTTAAGTTTTAAAATTTCTATTGAAACGAAATTTTTTATTTCAAGTATAAAATGTAGAAAATATTAACTAAAACATTAGTTGGTATTTACTTGACATTTGAAGACTCATCGCATAAAGTAAAATGGTTTCATTGTCTACTTTTGTGCCATGATATATGGTTCTCAATCAAATTGGTGCTTCCAGTAGAATTTTAGAGACTCTTAATTGATAAAACTAAAACTTAAAAGTCCAAACATATTAAAATTACCAAAACCCTTTACTTTTTTTTAGCAAATTATCTCACAATACAAAATTAAAGTATTCACTCTGTTTTCTTACAAAAGTCTTATGTACTTCTTTTGATTGGCAAATAGGGGTATCATAATAAAAATATTAATACACCCACACCCACACACACAGAGAACTATATTGTCATCTCCGTTCCATTTATCTATATTTTTTTATGACTTTCTTCCAAAAATCTTA